CTTTTCTTCTTTTTCTCTCATCTCTCATCATCGTCTCATTGTCTTAAATTTCTATTTTTGCTCATTTTAGCGTCGAAATAGATTGTTTTGAATACTTATATATGAATTTAACAATCAAAATATCGGGAGTATCGACAGCTTCAAGGTAGTAGTGAAATAAAATAAAATCTATAGAATTAAAAATTCACGAGAGAAGTTAACAAGTGTATTATTGTCAAAATAGGTGGTTACGAGGTTACCTAAGGTAAGTAAGCGCAAACAGAATGTGAAAGTAGCATCGAAATTTCGACTCGGGTCGAAACCCTCCATTGCACCCCGATGAGAGCACTTGATTATTTTCAACAGTGACATCGCTGAAAATCTGTCGTTGCCGACCGTTTTTAGGGAAAAAGCCGGCGATTCGACCGCCAGAGGGTCGGTCGCGGGGGAGGCAGACCGGACACTGGCTTGCGAGGGAGGGAAAACGGAAAGGAAGAAGAACGGATCGAAAGCCCCTGTTGCTGTTTCGTTTGAACCCCCGGCTGCCGTTCGCGCAAGTGAGGGCGTTCCTTTATTGAACCGGTGCGATGCCAAAGCCCGAATGCCAAAGAGTAGCGGGATCGGAAGGAACGTACGAACCCTCCTTGGTCTTTCTGCAGTATCCCGGTGCCGGGTAACAGGGACGCATTCCAGGGAGGCGGCGCGCAGCTGCTTTCCTGAAGCCGCGCTTCAACTACGTTTCTCCGCATATACCCAGTGGCGGATCACCCCCGCGCGTCAGGTGTACTCATCCCTCTGATGCGCCACTCGATGTGTACTCGTTTCGGTTTCTCTTGTAAATGTATTACGATCAATTTTGCTCATTTTTTTTCCAATTAGAAAGCATTATTTAAAGGACCAGGAATAAGAGCAAGTGTACGGGTAATTTAATTCAATGGAATAAAAAAAATCTTTAAGTAACATCTATAATTCTGAAATTACTAATAAGTTCAGATGTGTGAATTATAGATGTTACCTAAAGGTTTTCTTTTTTATTTTAAAGCACTAAAATATGCGCGCCTTGGCCTTGCAAACATTTCTTCCGATTCAATATTTTTTCAATGTTTTTTTTTTTATTTTCTCAGCTGTTATCAGTTATTTCGATAGATCCTACACAGAATAAAAAGTTTGACCGAATTTATCCGATAATGAACAAACTAAACGCGTTTCGGTGAAAGGAGACAAAATTTCCGGTTGTAAGATAAACTAAATTTCGTTCATAATAAGCAGAAATCCTGTTTACTTAACGTATCCAACTAGTTCAATGTTAGGTAAAATCGACCAGACTTTTTTTTCGTGTGTTCATCAGCGCTCAGATGTTTTGAAATATTCGATCGAATGTACTCCTTGGAGCTTACTCGCTTGACAATTTCCGCCGGCTCACGTCCTGGGCGTTCGCCGCCACTGCATATACCGCTCTCGTATGGGCGCCGTGCCGCGCTGCATTCCTAACAAAGTAGTCATCACGCATTCCTGGGACGCAATCGTGAACTTCTACCCTCGTTAGCAAAAGATGGATTCATGCGCGCTAAAGAGGATACGTTATTAGAATTCATTTCGTGGCTGTCATTGCGCGGGCCGCCGGCAGCCCCAGAGTTTGGATTCCTCCGCGAGAGACACGACGAAAGCCAACTTCGTTCGTTGACAACGGTTTTTTTTTCACTTCGACGAATCCATAGATTTGATCCTTTCGAGAAATTCGAAAGAGTCGTCGGGAGTTTCATGAAAACTTCCAACGCAGGAGACAACTATCGTGTTAATCACGGTACTCGCATTTTGACGATCGAGTAATTGATTTCCCGTTGGAAATTCAACTGATAATCAAATCACCAAAGACAGGTGAATATAATATAATTGTAGAATTATCCTCCAATGTTCGGGCGTTTCGTCCTGTTGGGCGCCGGTGACTATCAGCAACGTATTAATAATAATCGAAACGTCGACAATCCGACGTCGGTGCACACAAAATGCAAGCACGTAGACCAAGTTCGCAATTATACCTCGGCATTATGACGCGCGGAGGCACCCTCTTCGTGCGTGACCAAAGGGTGTTTAAGTCCGCGCGGCTAAAAACAGCTCCCCTTTACCCGAACGAAGTATAATGCTCAAACCGTATCGGCATAATTACACGGATGGCTTCGGTGTCACATCCCGGACAATATGGGCCGGCGAAAGGGGAAGTCGGGTTCTCTACGCATGCACCTGCAAGGAACCATATTTCATTCAACTTTTATGCTCTTATGCACCGTGAAATGCTAAGGGTCACCGAGCGTCCCTAACTTCCTATTGTCACGACCGAGATAAGGCCGCTTAGACAGATCGATGTATCGCTTACTGGATCCTCGATCGTGATTCAAGCCTTTCTTGTGGTTAATAGTAAGAACGTAAAGTTATTATTGGCAATACTTATTAGAAAAATAGTTCTCCTGACTATAACTCATTATGATGATTATAGTTACACAGACATTGCCCCGAATTCTTGCGGCATAGGAGTTAATGTCATGAAAAGCAAAATAATAATTTCTCTCTGTACAGAATCACGCGAGAGGTTTTCTTTCGATCAACGCTTATCGAGGAAAGATAAAATCGATCGGTAATGTGTTAAGCGCGAGAAAAGGAGCTGTCGCGGAGACGATTTGTTTCTTCGAATAAACAAATAGGATCTCAATTTGGATAGCATCTTTTTCTCACACGACGAAGTCGGAGGATTTATCGATCGCGTGCGACGTATGGTCGCTGTCGCGTACGATTAAGCGACAGCCTGAATACTAACCGGGCATCTCGAAGCGGGGGGTGGCGGCACCCCCTTGGGCTGCTGCACGTGTGTTCCCCTGAATACTTTGCATCACCATTACCGCCAACTTGATGCCCCTTTGTATCGTCGCATCGGAGGGGCATACCGTAGTTTCGTTCCCAACTAGGCGTATCATTGAGGGGATTCGTACCGCGCGCTACGCAGGAACAGAGACAAAGAGACCTATATGGGCTTTTATTTGACAAACATCGCCGATAGACAGACGGTACAAAGGACGGCATTGTCGCATATTTACGCGGACTGACAAACGGCCAAATACTCGGTCGGTGCGCGCCGACTTTCGACGAAAAAATATGTCCCGGGGCGGCCTCGCTGGAAAATCCCACCGGTTATTAGCCGAACGAGCCAAAGATAAAAGTGACGGAGACAACGAGATGAGACGAAATATCGCGAGGTGTCCGATATTACTTACGCGTTCGCATCGCATCGTCATACGCCACTTGATCCTGTGTAACTCTAATATAACATTATTAGTTATTATTTAAAGAAAAACAACATGTAATCACAATGCTTAATTACGTTCACACATAATTTTTGGCCAAAAACAAAAACCACACATTACGGGTTTAACTGACCTTGCATCAAATTCGGATGGCTTCCAAACACGTATTAATAAGCTTATAAATCTGCACGTTTAAGGGATAGGGCGACTTCCTAATGATTTCTCGGAAATGAAGAGAACTCTTAGATCGTGTGCTTCTTTTCGCTATAGCTCTTTAAACACAACTTACCGTCTGTATGACCGGTGAAACAATCGAAGGATCAATTAAGTAATTCCTCCTGTAAGAGTCGTATACAGTCTGCCAATACAAGACACTAGCACGATACCAGACCGGTGCCGGAAAGTAGATATTATGTTTCAATATTGGCTTAGTATTAGCCCAGTATTAGAAAAAAAAAAACAGTATTATTGGTATTGACCTCATATTTAGAATTGGTACTGAATAGTTGTATCATGCACGTGTTGAGACGATATCAAAAAGCGGATCTCATATTTTGGCCCAGACGGCACACAATATTTATAAAATATTAAAAAAATATGGATATTAAATATTTTGTAAATATTCAAATGTTCGAAAAATTCGGATACGAGAATGATTATTATAAATATTCTAAAAATTATGAAGAATATTTTTGATAAATAATTACTAGGTACTGATTTTCGATACTGGCTCGTTTCTATCATTCCGATATTAAACTAAAACTGGCATCCAGTACTGTATATCGCAAATCGGGCCAGTACCTCGCCAGTAGCAAATTCCTAGATGGGTTTAGTAAAAAAAATGTGTTCCATATATATGGGACATTAGTCATTAATATTATGTCTTCACACTTCGTCTCACAATGGACAGTTCCGTTCTGTATTTTAATTAACCATCGCGAAATTCCCAAACTTAACTGCAGTTCGTCACGACTACTTATTATACTTTTCCTCCCTCTCTTATATAACAGATATTACAAAGTTATATGGAAAGTCGCTGGGAATTCGTCGCACCTCGTAACACTCGGCCTGCAATTTACGATACGTCGTCTCCCTACGAAATTTCGCGGATTCGGCACGAAACGTCCGATCAGGTAAAACGCACGAACGTTCGTCGAATGAAAGGGGAAAAAAAGCAGCGAAGAAGAGAGAAGAAGAAGAAGATTCCGGCGGCACCCAAGATCGATGTTCGTCGAGTTTACGGAGATACGTCACTGAATCTGGCAATGGTCGCCAGATATTGATCTTACCGTGCGCGTCGCCGTCAGTTGAGCACCCTCGGCGCCGTTTCACCTCCCCACCCCTCGTCTCATCCCGAGCAGAGGCGGTTCCCGCTGGCGCCAATCGCGCTCTCAGCCCGAGGGTTGCAGAGCGGCTTCCACCGGGGGTTGAACCCGCCCTCTTCACCTTCGCGTCGATGCTTCATCTATCTCCTCGGTGAGCGGAGACGAGACACAAGAGGGTAGGGAAGCCGCTGCGGAGGATGGGTACGGCGATCAGTCGTCGGGGGGAGGGAGGGAAGGGGGATGATTTTCGCTGTCGTGAGTCGGTAGGTCTCGTCAAAAAAGCGACGGAGCTCGTACCGGTGACACGTAGCGAACTGTCACGCACAAACGGAGCGCGGAGTGCCGATACTGGACGAGCCGTCTGAGTGGATGAGGCAGGGGTACTGTGGGAGGACAATCAGGAGGAACGGGTGTCCTCACCTCCGTCTCGGTCGTTGTTGTCGTTGTCATCATCGCGCCCAGAATGCGATGCGGCCGTGACGTCTCGTATCTCATCGAGGAAGGTCATCGTCGCATCACACCCGCGTACGGTGGCCGTTCGTCATGAGACTCGGATGACGTATGGCGCGGATCGGAAAACCAGCTAGACCGAGACTGTCGCGAAAACTCCATTCGATGGTTCGAAACGCGCTCGAGGCACGACGAATGTCGAGATAATCAAACGGAAGTTAATCAGCACGGGGTGTAATGCAAGTGATGCGCGTTGATAACCTCAGAGTCTCGGAACTTTTAGTCTAGCCGAGTCATCTTAACTCGATTTAAGATTGCAACCGAAAGATGAGAAAGAAAACTTCAAAGAGCCGAGAGTTGAAAAGTGCGCGCGCGAGTTCGGAGATGTTAAATTATCCAGAACCGGAAACACTGGACGCTGGACACAACCGGATAATCGGTGAGTTACGGGAGGGTGGAAGAGGAGAAGAACGCGAGTGTAGCATGTAGACGTAAACGTTGTCGGGGATCGTTTCATCCGGAGGCGTTATCTTTTTCCTGAGAGACTCTTCCCACATGAGAAGAAGAGGCTTTTCTCCACAAAATTAGCGATTCTATCTTTATTCTTGTTATTCAGTCGGTCTGAGGAATTCTTGCCGAGACGATATCCGTGTGTGTGTGTGTGTGTGTGTGTGTATGGTACGCGAGTGTTTAGTGTAGTTCGACGAAGAGAAGGACTCCCGACGAGGATCGGGAGCGAGTTTCGTTTTCTCACTAGTTTCCGTAGCTCGAAGACTACTTCAAGCGTTCGAGATTTCAACGGGAGGACACCATGTTGGAATTTTACCCCCCGGCGCCTGGTTCTTTCAATCAAGGTTCTTTCAAGAATGAACCGGGCCAGCCTCTGCCGACGGTTCCGCCTATTCCTTTCCGGCCCACGGCGGAAAATAATAATGCAGGTGAGAACAAGTTATTTTAATTATGTTTTGAACATCTTTGAATCGCTAAACGAATCGACAAAATTAGCAGCGATTATTACCTTAAGAAAGTAGGAAGAATGGCGAAAGTATGATGATTCAATTGACCGAAGAATGATTTTGCAAAAAAAAAAAAGAAAAAATAGAAATAAAATAGACCTGAACAATATCGTGATTATCGTGCGTGAAACGCCGCTGAAGAAAGGGTCGGTGTTGGCGTGTGATTTATTTTATGGCTTATCGATACGAGAAACGATATCAGGACAAATGTACAAGTAATATTTCATGGAAAATGTGCCGCTATTGGGGCGAACTTTTCTCTCTTCCCGCGCAGTGAGCATCTCGATCAAAACCGCGAGCTTATAATGACAAAATTGCGATTATAATAACGACCGCCGAAGAAAAATCAAAATCGCAAGCATTATTCTTCGAAGGTAAAAAGAGAAAGGAATAACAAACCATGTTCCTCATTTGAACACACAGGTTTATTTCTACCTCGTAAATCACAAAATTTTCGTTTGAAGGAATAACATTCTGTCTACACGGAAAAAAACAATTTCGAATTTTCCGTTGCTTAGAGATCAGACTCGGCTGCAAGGAGATTCCTGTACCGAGGTTTCCACTCGGTCAATTGCATCATTTCTGAGTCTTCATCTTGTCATCATGTTATTCAGTTGTAGGAGAACTGAGATTTTTTTTCGGGCGGCTTTAAAATCGCGGAAATAACTTCGATCTCTCGAATGTCTTCCGAGCGTAACCCTTTCGTGTCCGCAGAACCGTCCGTTTCCGTGAAGACGGAGTCCGGTCTCCTGGAGACGATCTGCGCCGGCTGCGGCCGCACCATCGCCGACAAATACGTGATGAGAGTCGCCGAGAGGAATTATCACGAGGAGTGTCTCTCCTGCACGGCATGCGGCGCGATGCTGTCGCACTCGTGCTTCATACGCGACCTCAAGCTCTACTGCCGCTCCGACTACGAGAGGATTTTCGGGGTGAAGTGCGCACGTTGCATGGAGAAGATCAGCTGCTCGGACCTGGTGATGCGGGTGGCCAGCTTGGTCTTCCACGTGGAGTGTTTTGCGTGCTGCATGTGCGGCCAGCCGTTGCCGAGGGGCGCCCACTTCATCCTCAGGCAGGGCCAGCCAATCTGCAGAAGGGACTTCGAGCACGAGTTGTTTCTAAACAGTCCGCAAGGTGAGTGTATCTCTCTTTCTTTTTCTCTTTTTCTGTGTATGTATGCGCGAGTGGATGGGTAGGTGTGTGTATTATATTCGCACATTCGGTTCCGTCTTCGTTTGCCTAATTTTGCCAGGCTGGACTTTTCTCTATCGCGAAATGCGTATTCGATTGTAACGTAATTTTTAACAAAAAGCGTTTCCAGAACTATCAATTCCTAAGATTTAAGTGTGTTTACAACTTTGGCAGCGCGGGAAACGCCCTTTGTCAAAAATTACGTTATATATTGTTGCTTAGAACAAAAACTTAAAGGTTTGCTGCATCAACTGTAGATCCGGAATATAGGTTGCGATATCTTTTTTTTTCCATGAGCTTCGCAACACAATTCCGTGTCCAATAAGAGAATTTGTTTCTTAGTAATTCTTAAGAGATATGCACTTTCCAATTAGATACGAGAAACTCGTTGAAAAAGAAAGTATTGCGACCTTTAATCTGCTGACTGTTTGTGTGCAACGGGGGACTTCAGCATGAGCGAAAATGTGTGCATACGTATTGTTTCGCATGAAGTGATTTTATTTTACACGGTGTTACCTGTCCCTACGTTGACGGTGTACGTCTTTCTACGTTACAATTTCCGTGTCTTTATTCATCTCCATCCCCGCACAACATCTCGTCTCTCAGCGCTTATTTTGCACGAGGATCAGACAAACTGCGAGAAACTCTCGGTTAAACAAACGTTTCTAGATATAATTAGCACACTCGAACGGCGAGAATATGCATTTGTTTTTTCCGTGGCAACCCGTGACTACAAACTGCTCAGTTCATATCCTTTTACATCGTCTGCGCTCGATCACGTCGATTATCACGTCGCGTCGTTCCTCACATTCGTCACGCGAAAAATTCCGATGACTTTTAAGAATCATGAGGCATTGCCGCGCGCACGAGCCGCTTGAGAAGTGGCATCGAATGACAAAGAAAAAAGAAAAATAAAAATAACAAAAAAAAGAATGACGCCGTTAAGAAACGCATTGTACATACCTTGTTGCATTGTTCGCAGGTTGTACTACAATCTAAAGACATCCAAAGTAAAAATCTGCAGGAATTTCGAAACAGGGCCGTTCCTTTTCAAGGTAATTACATTTCAGTCAAGCGTAAGCTGATCGATCGAGAGAGAGAAAGAGAGCGCGACGTTTCTTCGCGGCAATTAGAGAAGGACCAACGTGCTCGCGAAAAGTCTAAGTACGTGTACCGTGAATTCTTGAGGAAAGCGGAGTTTATTCTCGGGGCATCTTATTGCTCGATCTCGATATGTTATGTGTTATATAATTTGCGACGCGCGTCTCGTCGAGATGTTTCTTCGCGCATCATCGATGACGATATCAAATGATGAAAAGAGCAGTTTGTGTGTCACCTATCCTTTCCTCCCCCATTTTTTCTCCGTTATGCATACGAGATAAAAAAAAAGGACATTCGCGAGAATTTCCGTACACAATGAAAAGCGCACACTGGAAAGCACTTTCGGAAAATCTCGATGAGATTTTTTTAATAAACGCGGACATTTCCGCAATGCGGGAAAACTCTTTCCGCCTGACTTCTCTCTTTCTCCGTACAGAATTATTTTTCTTAAATTATATATACACGCAATCGCAAAGGCGACTCCATCGTCTATTTAAAAAATTTTTTTTCTTTTCGTCGCTTCCCGCTTCCATTAACAATGATTGACAATTTAACAGCGACGACGACGGCGGCGGCGCAACGATTGCGCCGGACGATTTCGACCGACAATTCCGAATCGCGTTCCGCATCGCCGGCACGGCGAAACAATTTTTTAACAATGGAATTCCTGGAATTGTCGAAATATTCTCGGCCGGAAAATGGAATTCGCGCGTATGGTCGGTACGTTTGTTCGTGGCCGACATGGTGCCGCGCCGCGGCACGTATATTGCATGGTAGGCGTGGTCTGATGCTTTGTCGGATCGCTGTCTGATCGAAGCCGCCCGTATCTACTGCTCGACTTCGACCTCTGCCACTTGCGTCTGACCGATCAATCCGTCATATGGCGGTGTGTACATAATTCGAAACAGGAGCAGTTCACGCGCCAAGTTGTTCTCGCGATTTCCCGTCCGGCTCACGTCGCTGAACGCTTTTGCGTGTAAACAATTTCATTGAATCGTCATTTTAGTTCCCGATAAGAATCCCAAGTAGAACAGAAAATGTCGATGACGTCAAATTACGTCAGAATAATGAGAAAATTATTAAAAGCTAAGTTTTTATTGTAGTTCTAAAAAAGCCGTTTTTTTCCAAATCGTTTGAAAAAAATCCGGAAAAAACGGAGTTTTTCCGAAAAATAGGATTTTTTTGTAAAAAATTGCTTTTTTACTATTTAAATATATCAGATCATGTTTAATGTCCTTCATCATATTAATGTGTTCCAGAAAATTAAATAATTCCACACGAACTTTTCTTGGGAAAAGAAACCGAAAAAAAGAACGGAAAAAAATCGGATTTTTCGAGCCTTTAGAACTATAGTTTTTACATTCATTTTCTCGTTATTTTGACATCATTTTGACGTTATCGTGATTTTCTGTTCTACTTGGAACAACACACAGCAAATGACATGTTGCATGCAGAGAACAAATGGCAAATAGGGAGAAAGAGAGAGAGAGAGAGAGAGAGAGAGAGAAAGAGAGAGAAGGAAAGAGGTTATTTGTCTAAGTATGCACATATGTACAAACAGCATCATATGCTATTATTAGATGACGACTTGTTGGACGAGAATCGACCACGGGATGGACGTCGGGGTCCGAAACGGCCGCGGACGATTCTCACGTCGGCGCAGCGGCGCCAGTTCAAGGCGTCGTTCGAAGTGTCGCCGAAGCCCTGCAGGAAAGTGCGAGAGGCCCTCGCCAAAGACACAGGGCTCAGCGTGCGCGTGGTCCAAGTGTGGTTCCAGAACCAAAGGGCGAAGATGAAGAAGCTCCAGAGAAAAGCCAAGACCGAGCCCGGATCCGACAAGGAGCCGAAAGAAGAGCGGAGGACGGAAAGTCCGCACAGCGATCACAGTAAGCGCTTCCCTGCCGCATTATCATCCCCTTAGTTATCACTCCCGCGCATTATCACGGTGGTTCATTCTCGCGATTCGCGTACCGACCGTCTCCTGATTTTTCGTTCCCGATCCTGATCCCGAAAATACGAAGAGTTTCATTCGACTCGCGCGTTGGGGCCGGTGCCTTCTTCTCTCGTTGATTTCACGTTATCGCAAAATTTCATTGTGTTAATTAACGTAGAGTCTTGTGCGCGAGACAAAGAAAGAGAGAGAGAGAAAGAGAGAGAAGGTGGGAGGGAGAGAAAAAAAAAAGAGTCGAAAACCGCATACGCGCTCGTTCGCGAAGACTGGTTAATGGGGCTTTTGCTAAACGAGTGAGTTCAATGTCAATTGTCTAATCTCGTTCGCAGGTCATTACTTGAACGCCCTGAACATGCGCGATGGGGAATCTTCTAGCTTCCCCTCAGCCACCCAACCGCTCAACCCCAATAACCCGTACTCGCCCGACGGTAAGTCCTTTACTTCACCGTAGAAACTCATCAGCCGATGTGTCAATTAAAGCGGGAATGAATACGCGCGCGTGATTCTGGTCCGCGCGAGGACATTCGTCTCCGTTGACGAATTGATGACGAGTCGATAAGTTGAATCTTCGAGAATTCAAAAACATTTTGAAAATAAAAAAAAGACAGAAATTTAATCGCGAAATCGCTTCGTTTGCGAATCATTACTTATCGCACGTGAGCGATTAACAAGGGGGAGGGATTTGTTCGAGAAAGTGAATTTTTTTAGGAAATGTTTTATACCGAGTAATATTAAAATATGTCGTGCCGATTGCATATGCAGTTTCTCCTCGCGCGTGAATTTTGCGAACATTTTCATAAAAAGTTTTTTGACAGACGAAATCTCTTCGGCCACTTTTTTTCATATCAAAGACAGGAGCTTTGACATACACATACATACACGCACACAGTTCTTTTTTTTTTTACCAAAACATCCTGCATGTGTCACATGCCCACGCACGCAAATATTTTTTTAAAGCCTTCCACAGGGCGCACAAGGCGGTGATATATTTTCCGCGGGTATATTTCGGGCTTTGGAATTTTTTTCAAACTCACTCCCTGCTACGATACTCCGCTGTTTGAATGTTAGACACAAAAGGGTTTATGTCGCGTTTCTTTTCCGGTGAATCAAATGGAATGCTATATTTTCCGGGCTTCTCTCTATTCATAAACTTTTTTTAGAAAATGCTCTCAGGCTTAAAGTTGAATAAAATCAAGGTGAGTATATTCTTTCCGATCTGGACATTATGATTTCATCGCGAACAAACTGCCTGTTTTTTTCATTGTACGTTTTGCGAGTTCGCGTGCGACTTCGATTAAAGGTCATTTTTCAATGATTGTAAAAGTATAGCAATAACGTCCGTTAGACATCGTAAACGCCCGCTTCTTGTATAGTAGGCCGCAACGTAAGATCGTAAGCAAAATAAATTATTTCCATTTTCTTACGACCTTACTTCGATCAATCAGAATAAAGCAGGATATTAAAAAAATCGAACCTAACCTTTGCTAATTGGTCCGTTTCGCTATAAACTATCGTAAACAACACCGTTTTAAGAACATTAAATTCCACGATCTTCAGCTAAACACATAGACATAATAAACCTAAACCGAGTGTTGAGGAGTAAAGAGTACCGAAGTACACATAGAAAAGGATGCACACTCTGTGTTTTGTGTCCTTGCGTTCTCTTTCGTTCACTTTGATTCCTTAAACAAAGGCAAACGCTCGGTCTGAATATATTACATCTATAGTTGAATGTTACGGACTTCCAGCCATACTGTTACGGCCATTGCAGAACGGTCTTAAGAACTACGCGCGTGTATGGGTTTTTCTCACCTGTTACCATCTCTCCGTCTGGTCCTTTGCAGACGCATATCCGGGACACTCGGGTGAGAGTTTTTGTAGCAGCGACTTGTCCCTCGACGGCACGGAGGGTGGCTTCGACATCGGCGAAAATGACGGCGGCGGTGCCGACGGCAGTCATCAAGGTGCTTCACACTCCCACCACAGCTCGTCGTCACACGACACCCCGTCGTTGTCGCAGAGTCTGCACGCGGCCATACACAATCCCATCGACAAACTGTTCATGATGCAGAGTAGTTATTTCAGTGGTGATCACGCGTAATCCACGTTTCCGCCTTCTCTTTCTCCCCGCCGCTCGTCCTCATACCTGTTTCGATCTTCTCCTCCTGCTCCTTCTTCTTCCGCTCCTTGTCGTCGCTTTTTCTCCGCCGCGCCCCTCTTTTCACCGTTCCTGTCCGTGAAGTTCAATAACCTTCCAGCGTCCTTTCGGTCGGCCTGTTGTCTTGTGTGCGCCGCGAACGGATCGCATCCCGTTTCGAATTTTCCCCGCATCGAGGTGACGATGATCTTCGGCGGCCGAATACTCCTCCGCTCGAACCGCGACTCTGTATCGAGACGAGAGAGAAACGAAAGCGACACGATGCGACGATTAATCGAAACGAATGATCGTGATAAATATCACTTTTTGAATATAATAGCACCTCTCTCTCTCTCTCTCTCTCTCTCTCTCTCTCTCTCTCTATATATATATATATATATATATATAGTATTATTTACACTGTCAATTGTGAGTAAAATCATTTGAGATTTTAGTTGGACAAACTAACTGGGTAATTGTTATATTTAACATTTGACATTAGTTATTATATGTAACAATTGATATGTAGCGGCAAATAGGGCTAATAATTAACTATGTCAATAAAAAAAAGAAACGATGTATTCTCTAATTAGGACAATCGTGCACTGGCATTGCATGAACTCAAAGGAGAAATTTGTTTGTGCATTTATGTTATAATTTATACGAAGCGGATTTATTTATTTGATTTATTATACCTTGATATATCTTCGATACTCGCGCCAAGCTATATGTTCCGTATATTACCGCGAGGATATATTTAATAAGATATATACACACGTTCGACGGTACCACGCAGCCATTATGATTGTGTATCCTTCTGTTTTCACCTATAAAACCATATATTTAAACTTTGACGTGAAATTATTCCTCCTTCATCAGCAACATAATTAAAAATATCTTTTATCCAAATTCACATTAAATTAATCAGAAGGTCACCACATTTTCCATAATCTTTTGCCACTTTTCTGTCGCATTCCCGCGCGGCGAGTATTTCCGCGTCCTGTGGGCAGAAACCATAAGACTCTGTGTCTATGATGCGAGATCTCGGATCAAATTATTGGTCTGATATAAAAGTAACTAGAAATCACTGAAAATTCTAATAACTTTCGGGAGAGGTGACAGCCAATCACAACACTGTGTACCTAGAGACATTTTTAGAGTCCCTTGTGACTTGTGATTGGACTGTGTCCAAATGATACATACCCGTGAATTCTTCTTGAGTATTTCTGAACGGCTAGTATCTACGCACAGTCTGTTTCGTGAACGTAACCGTAGTATTTATCGATAGATTCTTGAAAGGTACTAGTAATTTCTAATAACTTCTACGTTTGGCCAACAACCCAAGATTTAAGCTTGATCGACGATATGCTTTTTGCGTCTTGTTTCTTACTTTCTTTCTTTCTTCTGTTAGTCCCGGTCTACAATAGATACTTTAAGCTCTAAGCCTTAAGAAATTGACCAATCACAATCCATGTTTTTCTCATATTCGACTTGTTCAATACTGTGATTGGTCAATTTCTTTAAGCTTGCGCCTTAAATTTTCATTGTAGACTTTGCTTAAGTCCCAGCATACAATAGATATTTTAAATCTTAAGTCTTACGAAGTTGACCAATCACAGTTGATTATTCTCTTCACATTCGACCGTGATTGATCAATTTCTTAAAGCTTAAAGTACCTATTGTAGACCGGGACTAAGAAATTCTTTTTATTTATAAAAAAGAGATAAAAACAAGACGCAAAGAGTACGTTGTAGATCAGGCTTAAGAGCCGCTTCGCAACGTGTCGACATGCGTCCTAGGGAATAGTTGGACGCAGCGCTAACGTCATCGCACCGCCGTCACCGCCACCGTCCGGCCGTCGCAACCGACGTTGTCATTGAATCCGTCGTCTTTGTCGAAGTAACTAACGAGCGGAGCCGGGTTTTCCGTTTCTTCGTGTCGTTCTCGTGTGCGTACGTAGACGTGACGTACTAACCGATCACAGCGTTTTCCCAGTCGCGCGACCTCACAGAGGGAAGCCAGACACGAGGAGTATAAGGCGCACTACAGACGCAGATTCGGAAGGAGTTGAGAGAGAGTCTCTCGAGAAAGGGAAACGCGTCTCGTACATATTCGAGTTGCGCGATAGTCGCGAGGCATTGACGGACTGAGTGCTCGTTCTCTCTCTCTCTCTCTGGATATATATATTTCTTTTATTTATTCACTCGCCATCCCCGTTTGGCGAACATGAATGAAGAATATGACGCGATCGTGCTCGGCACCGGCCTCAAGGAGTGCATCCTGTCGGGCATGTTGTCGGTCAGCGGTAAACGGGTGCTGCACATCGACCGCAACAAGTACTACGGCGGCGAGTCGGCCTCCATCACGCCCCTCGAAGACTTGTTCGGGTGAGTGTTTGTATCCCTGGTTTGTCTCTCTATCACCACCGTTCCGTTTCGCCGCTTTCGAACAGCGGGAAGATCCGGAGAATGTGTACCAGAAAGACGTCCTGGTGGACACATGCATGACTTTTCCTTCCCAAGGTGTCACATTTGCGTTACTTGGGTCCCCCCCCCCTTCTTCCGTTTCTCCCCCCTCCCCTTTTCCCTGCGACACACAGGCGGGAAACCATCATCATCATCGACTACGACGACAGCTGTGCCGCGATGTCACGAATATCGATCTCCCTTCTTCCGTTTCGGAGATCAAAATCTCGCCGGTATATCCGAGGAGAGGACGCGCTACAGGAAAGGAGGAAAGACGTGGCGATGCGGACGGTCGCTGTGAGAGGGTTCGGAAGGAGGAGAGAGGGGAAAATATGTTCCCGCGGGGAACGTATCGTTGCGTCGTGTACGTGAGAAGTATATCGATTTCCGAGGCCACATTCCCACCGCGCGAATCAACGTTAAAATCAGTCGGACACAGGCAGCTACTTTTTTAAAATTCTCATTAATCAATTAATCGAATCATCCGGTATTGTGCTCAGAGTGTCGAGGATAACTGAGATATTCTTCGCTTCGTTTGCAGCTTCTACGGATATGCTTCTGTGCGCGTATACCTGCGATTGCAGCAGTTGCAATGGTGTTACATTCAAAGAACACATCGGTTGAGTAAATTGTCAACATAGGCCATATTTCATAAACAGATATACTTATGATCGTCTCAAGTGCACCTTCAGATAGCCAATGAAATGAGCCGCATAGCATCTGAGGATGAACTTAAGACAGTCCCATATATGAAATCCGATTATGAATACTATAATTAGTTTAAATTTAGGAATCTAACAAACCAATAATCATTGACCACTTACTAATCGCTTGAGTTTTCTGTGAACGCAGCCAATGGTTAACATTCAGCAAGTACAACGGTTGTACAATTGTTGAATAAAACATGGTCTGCAATGGACAATGTATGTATAAGTTGTAAGAGTAAGAAATTAATCAATCATAGTTGGTTATTCTCCTTACATTTGAACATGATTGGTCAATTTCTTATTCTTACTTCTTGTGAATATACTCTTACTGACTATTGTAGACTACGTTTTAACAATTATATACAGCATAGCACCCAAGGAACATCTTAAAGAGGTCCATAGAACGTTCATCGGATAATGTGTGCTGTATGAGATATGATGGCTGTATATCTTCTTAGATTTACCAATCACAAGCCATTTTTCAAAAGCCGATTATTTGAGTATTGGCTTCGGCCAATGATTATTGTGTGATATATGTGTGTATATAGTGATTATCTTTACTGTTAGATCCATAAATTTATACTAATTATGTTGACGAATCAACCGTTGTGTTTTCTGAACGCAATTAATGTATTCGCTGAACACAGTCAATTTTAACGCAATACTTTTGTTCGAGTGAATAAAATACTTGTGATATATTTATATATTTACCATTTCAACATTATTATTATTGATTATTGATCGGAGCAAGTTTTCAAATATGTATTATTGCTATAGTTATTGCGTTTTTTTTATCTCACAGTAACACAATTTATCTACGAAGTAAATATAATTCTTTTAACATCGTTTATGGGATTCGTTTCTGTTGTACTGCTACGTGCTATTTTATAGTTTCTCAGCAAAATAAACGTGTATACATTCTTCGAATGTGCAATATATGCAGGAAGGAAGAATAAGGTAAATAGAGGAAAGAAGAAAAGACGAGAAACGGATTTGGAATAAACATGCCTGACACTAATTGTCAATTCCGGTTATTGTTATCGACTAGCCGAGAATAGCGGAAAATTCGCTACTGCCCAGCCTTGCAATTACACGCCTTGCGCGATTACACTTGGGTGTAGCAAAAAAAGAATGCAGGCGTAGGAGAAGGGAAAGAGAGAGAGAGAGAGAGAAGGAGAGGGAGGAGAAGGAAAGTGTCCGCCCCACAAGTAGCACCGCTGGATCGAACATCGCGAAATCGCGCGACCTAACCGCAATGAATTAGCTCTAAACTCGAGCATTCTTTCCTGCAGCCCTTCGTTGTGATTTCACTCGCGACTACATTCCGCGCTGCGACTTGCATTCTCCAGAGTAATAACTTAAACTGACATTTTTTAATTCATTTACCGATGCCACGCTACTCTGGCCTTCTCGTTCTTAGTTATGTTTTTTTTATATCTTTTTCTTTCTTTTTCCATTCTCTTTCTCTCTACTACTACCATTATTACTACACTTTTTTTTTATTTCTATTCCTTTTCTTGTTTTTTGTATCATCCCCATGATTCTACTCTTCGTCTATGCTTTGTTTAGGCTCTAATTTCTTTGCTATTCATTCACTCGTTCATTTGTTTCTTATCGTTTTCATTTTGATTGAGTTGTGAGAGTTTTAATAATTGTATACAGCTACAATGCAACACGTTTATTTTATCATCAGTGTTTTACGATGACTAATGCGAAACTTACGATAACAACGCGAGTCAATACATTTCCATGACGAGAGAGATACAGGACGTGCATATATCAATGTGCTGCGTCAGACCTTCATTGTTATCAGCCGCGAAGGATCTTTTTCATAATTAAGATACGAATGTTACCAACTCTGCTGCAGAATAGCGAGCCATGTTCGACTATAATTATGTTAGGTCATTAAATACGAAATGTCCGATTTCGAATGAAAAGTCTGGTTCATTATATCTCAAACAAGAAGCGGTACGATTAAACAAAGTATGCACCTAAACAATCGACACAGTTTTGCCATCTTGTTTATGCCGGTAGTAAAGAAACCTAAGAGAACGAGTGGCAATGAAAGCACGAAAGGCGTTTTCCACAGTTGGCTTGTTGAGAATTGAATTGATTTTTCCTTGCAAGAAATGGCCCGATGTCTGGAAGAAATGGTAGTCAATTGGTGCAAAGGCACTGTTAAATAGTGGTAGGTAACAGTTTCCGGCTTCTGTAGTTTGAACAGCGTTGTTTGTGCAACATGTGGTTAAGCGTTGTCTTGTAAGAGGTTTGGCCTGTCTCTATTGACCAATCTCGGCTGCTTAATCGCAGGTTCCCTTATCATTTCGTCTAATTGATTGCAATAGACAGCGTTCATTAGCCACATCCTCGCCAAACACGTCGTTGATATTTCGAGCTGTTTGCACTGCATTGGAACTCGTTCGAAAATAACACGAATTTTTGACTCATCAATGGTCTCACAAAAATTCATCCGGAAGAGACAATTCGAAAGATAATCATAAACCAAAACGTGCGTTTGAAAGAGTGATAATGTGTCTTCATACTAAGAAAAAAAAACCAAGAACTGTCAAAATGAAATGTCAATAATATCAACTCTCAAATTTGGTACTTCAGAAAATCGGACATTTCGTATTTAACATCCTGATAGTACAACGCTAATTATGTAGGAAACATTATTGGACTTAGGATCACGGGTCGCGGTAATTATCTTCCGCCTCTTTTTTTCTCTCCACGTATATAATTTTCGCTGCGACGAGATTTCCTTGTTACGTGAACAATCAGCTTCCAAGCTTCTATTGTCGTCATTTGTCGATTTTCTCGTGAGACTTCAAATGGGTCTTCCCTCGAATTTTTTCCCGTCACAATCTCGATCATTCTCAATTAATTTAGTAGCAAAAATAATTATTCGTTGGTTAAGTTTTCAAACTTTGATATTGAGTATCGTAGAGGCGGGCGGCTCTCCCCAATCAATTCCAAGTTAATGAAGGACTCCGTTATTATATGGGGTGATTCATTTCAATTTTAACAGGCAAATATTTCGAAAAATATGGAAAATATGGGAAAATGTCTCAAATAAAAGTTGCAGGGCTTAGAGAGGGGTATAAAACAGTGGACCTTAATTTCATTGTACGGTTGATAATTCAAGGTCAATTTCATTTTTTAAAATAGAATCATATAGTTTTTTTTCTACATAAATCGATTCCTCTGTTTATTATATTTTACGAGATATTTCATATCTCGTACTAAAAAATATCAGAATGAAAAATAAAATAACTCGAAAAGTATTCGCATTTAGATGACCTTGATAATGAACGGAGGAATCGATTTGTGTTAAAACTCTCTCTCTCTCGTTTGTACATCACTATGCGATATGTGTTTAAATCGAATTCTTCGAACGATAGCAGTATTACCAAAAACCGGCATATAAAAAAGCGTGATATAAAATAAAGTGTCAATATTGTAATGTTACGTAATTATGTTCGTGCACGTAGTTTCTACGACTTCTCATACTTTGCCTCATTGGTCTCAGAGAGAAACCAATAACAAGAAACGGGTCACTGCGTGTGTCGTCGTGTAAGACTCTCTCTTTCTTTCTCTTTCAATAAATCATCGTGAGCGCGCGCAACTCATCTACCCGATAGCTATCACAACAAATTGTCGGGCTTGAGTTAACGTCGTGTAACGCGCGATATCGTTCAATCATTATCCACCAATTGAGTGGTTGAACGGGTACAGCGAGCCCGTGAATAACATTAACGCGATCCGATTCAAATTTATTAATTAACAATGTTACAACGACGGGATGTACTTATCAATGTGTTTCTTGACTACTGATAATTTTTATTCGCGATTTCCGAACGCAGATATAAATGCTAGCGGAAACGAACTTCTAATTATGATTGATGGCGAGAAAAGATTGATGTCCGTTGGACGTTTCAGACATTCCCTTATGAATCCTCGTAACTTTGCAAATTGTGCTGTGATGAAGATTCATCTTTGTGAACCTGGCACGCTTTTGAAAAACGAATTTTTTTTTAATACGGAAACAGTATATTTCGTTTGTAGTTGTTTGTAGTAGCAATAATTTTGTTTGTGGTTCCATTAAAAAATATAAAAAATAATTTGCACCCCCCATATCGAGACGTTTCAAATCTGCTTGCGCAGTCTTCTTTAAAATCCTTTGTAGTTGAACAGTTCAAAAATTACCTAAATTGTTATGCGAATGATTGTTAATCTCCTTTCCTCAAATTGTATCATTTAGCAAGTTCAAGGCACCGTCGCCGGATGAGAGTTATGGTCGCGGCCGAGATTGGAACGTCGACTTGATCCCCAAGTTCCTGATGGCGAACGGTCTTCTCGTTAAACTGCTCATCCATACTGGTGTGACGCGTTACTTGGAGTTCAAGTCGGTGGAGGGTTCGTACGTGTACAAATCAGGGAAGATCTCCAAAGTACCGATCGATCAGCAAGAAGCCTTGTCCAGTGATTTGATGGGTCTGTTCGAGAAACGGCGCTTCCGCAGTTTTCTTATGTGGGTGCAGAACATGCAGGAGGACGATCCGAAAACGTGGGAGGGCTTCGATCCTTTCAGTAATCACATGAGCGCCCTGTACAATAAATTCAGTCTCGATAAGAACACGCAGGACTTCACCGGGCATGCGTTAGCATTGTACAGGTACGAGCGGCGTCGATAAAAAAATTGAATTTATTTCGTGGTATTAAAGTTCTCGTTTCTTCATCGTGGGTATTTTAAGCAATAATGTCAAAAGCGAACATCTTCCTTCGCAAGTAAATTATCAACGTCCGCTTATAAAAACTTTTGCTTTCTGAAGGGACGACGATTACATCAGCCAAACCGCGATAATCACTATCAGGAGGATCAAACTATACAGCGACAGTTTAGCGCGATACGGAAAGTCGCCGTATCTTTATCCCATGTACGGTCTGGGCGAGCTTCCTCAAGGATTTGCGCGACTCAGCGCCATTTACGGCGGTACCTACATGTTAGACAAGCCGATCGACGAGATTGTCATAAAGGAGGGCAAGGTGAATCTTGTATTCGTGCTTAACTTTTCTTGGAATGAATTTATTACAATTTGCAAGAAAATTCTGTCATTCATGCGTCGAGGTCTCTCTTTTTCTCGTGGAATTTTGCGGTGAATGTTTATTCACCGGTAATGTTCGTTATTTACTTTGTCGACAGTGTTCTAATTGAAAGAGATAAATTAAACGTATGTGTGTGTGTATTCCGCATCTCTGAAGGAAGTTAACCATAGGTTTTTCAGTCATTAAAGTTGGCTGTCATTTTACGTAGGTGGTTGGTGTTCGTTCTGGTGACGAAGTAGCTCAATGCAAACAAGTCTTTTGCGACCCTACGTATGTACCTGATCGTGTGAAAAAAGTCGGTCAAGTGATAAGGTGCATATGCCTTATGGATCACCCGATACCGAATACAGCCGATGCGCTCTCCACGCAAATCATCATTCCTCAGAAACAGGTGTTAACGACATACGTATTTGTCTTACACCAATTTTTCAAGTGCAATTGATTCCGTCGATATTTTATACGTTACTTAATGACGATATACATCATCAGTCTTAATATCGTAACACAGCAATTTGTTTCCTTTCGCAGGTTGGTCGCAATTCCGACATCTATGTATCGCTCGTGTCGCACACCCATCAAGTTGCAGCGAAAGGCTGGTTCATAGCCATGGTGTCAACCACGGTGGAGACAAAGAATCCCGAAGCTGAGATCAAACCCGGCCTGGACCTGCTCGGTCCGATAAAACAGAAGTTCGTCAGTATCTCTGATTACATGGTGCCAGTTGACGATGGACTCAACAGTCAGATATTCATATCCACCAGCTACGATGCGACCACGCACTTCGAGACCACTTGCTTGGACGTGCTCGATATATTTAAACGCGCCACCGGCGAGGAGTTTGACTTCAATAAGGTTAAACATGAGCTGGGCGACGAAGATCAGTAACCGTAACCGGGATTGTGCATGTGCAACTTTGTCACGTAACTATTGCGGAGAAAAAATTGAGAGCGCTCCGCGAATTTTCGCGTATTTTGGAGTAAGCAAACACATCGGTATGCAACAAATGGATACGTCAGTAGCGACAGTGTCTCCTCAAGGCAGATACCACGGAACAAGTCACGCTGCGAGCAGACCTGTGCCTAATTATAAAATGTAGATTCTCTTTGACAGAGGATGAAAAAACGATGGTAAAAGTCGGCTAAATTCTCTCTTTCTTCTCTTCAGTTGATTAATCCTATCTTCGTCCCAACAAATCTCGTCCTGCTGCTGTTTCCGTGGATCCTTTGACAGTCCTGTCCGAAAGCACTGAGCTCTCTTTCACACTTAACACGGAAGAACGAACTCTCAGATTCTTCCTGCGAGCAACGGGGTACTAAGGTTAGAAAAAAAAACCTCTTATAAATTTATATTTTTCGCATGAAACCGTATATTCGATCTGTCTCACATGTTCGAGCAAGAAAAAAAAGGGGAAAGAGAAAAATAGAGGAAAAGTAATCGAGAGACGTTCGTCACTGCGCGTGTATACAATACAAAAAATGTATCATATTTTAATGTTTAACCGAAATATACGAGAATCTAAGTGAAACGTCGTCCATCGGTAGATTAAATTGTACAAAGAGGAATCTCTCTACAGGTACGCCACGATTAACAACAACAATCAGCGGACGATCGAGTCGTTGTAAGATAATGAACCAAGCCTACGAATAATTCACACTATTTTCAGAATTTCCCGCCAACTGCCGTGCTTTTTCCACTCCTCTCGTTTCAGCTAATACCTGAGATTGAACGTCTTGCGTCTCCGAGAGGAGCCTCAAGCCTGTTGTGAAACGAGAAGAGTAAAAGATAGCGGCGGGATCCCCGAAATAGTGCAAATTGTCCGCAGGCTTACGATAAACAATAAAACCAACAATTGATTCACGATACAGACGATACGAACGATGTAAGTACCACATTTGTTTAGATTTAGCACCGGACACATTTAGATTGTAGAAGACGAAACGTTTCCGGAAAGTCTTAACTGCTGCAAAAATTATGGGAAAAATTTTGGTGGCTATGTACGAGCATCGGCTTTCAGTTGCTCGAGCTCTGCATTTATTTTAATTAAGCTAATCGACGGAGAGCAATGATATATATATAATTTTATACCGAGTCGCCGAGACGCACGGGCGATGGTGTTCCGTTGGTAACTGTCCGTTATTCATTGATCGTGTACCGAAATTAGACTAAAAATTAGCACTCAGATGTAAAACGCGCTTCTCGATATGTATATTCGCGTGTATACTTGTAACAATCTCCCTTTCGTTCACCGCACATTCGCTCGTCCTCTTATTGATTGAAGGATTTATTCAGCGAACAAATAGTATCAATAGAGAAGTAATTAGATATTTTCAACGTGCGCGCAACAGAACTAGAAAACTAGTGAAGCCGTATACTTGTACACAAAGTCGAGACGGAAGAGGTGTTAAGAGAGAGAGAGAGAAAAAAAAAAGAGAGAATCGAAGATTAATATCGAAACGAGGACGATATCCGGAGCGGCCAAGCATTTCATTATAGAATATTATATATATATTATAGTTCTATATACATATAAATATATATATAAATATGTATACATATATATAAATACGAGGAAATGAAATCGTTGAAATATTGTTGTTTCGTGTGAACTCGAGATTCCGGATTATTTCTTTTGCATAATAAGAGCGCGGACGTATCACGTAATATTATTATTATTATTATTATATTGTTATTCGATAAGGTACAATGGGAAGAGAACAAAAGAAGGACGAGTGAGCGCGCATTATTCATATGTCTACGACAGTTGACTGATTGTCGTCGTTTTTTCTTTTTTTTTTCTTTTGTTTTCTTTTCATAACGGGTAAGAAATGAATCAGCAGTTTTACTTAGATTCACGTTTCACTTGCACTCTCGCATGGGTCACCGCGACAAGCGCACGCAATTCCGCACTACGTACGAAAATCCAATGGAATGTGGGTACACAACTGTCTACGGATGGATATCTTTTACCGTTATCCATACTTGTAACACGAGAACCGAGTGGAATAAACGATATTGTATTAACTATATTCCTTATAATTCTGTCTAATTAAAACCATGTTTTCTTTTAGTAGAAATTTTAATATATACATAAAGCCTGGCACAGATGTTAATCCAAGATTTTAACCAAGTTTCAATACGTAAAGATTATTGTCCCTGCATCCCAAGATGGCCAGATCGTTATGTATGACCGGCGAGGAGAAGATTTCGCCGGGAAGTCGCTTGGTGACGAGTGATTTGCCCTCTGAAAGATCGAGCACTTGGAACGTGCCGTCCGTACACGCCACGAACACGTGTTTGTCTTCGCACCAAGGAGTCGCAAAGATGGACGAATGCAGCTGCAACGCGTATCTCAATCTCGGATTTTCTCCCTTCTCTCCTGGCATCTCCAGGCAATACAGATGTTTGTTGTGGCTCGCCAAAATAACGTGTTCGCTGTTGCCGGCGGACACGCGAGTATTTATCACGGGATACGAAAATACATTTCCGCGTATCTCGTACCGCCATATCTGTGTAACAACAAAAAAGGAAATCAGCGTAATGTAATATGCCAAGCAAGAAAGAACGAATTTACGCTTACCCGACAATCGGTTTCGATGTCGAAACAACACAACGTTCCGGCTACGGAACAAAATAAAGCGTATCCATTTTGGAGGACGACGGGCGCCACAAAAATCGGGTCCTGCAATTTGCGTCTCCACTTAACTCGCCCGGAAAATTGTCGCAAAGCCAGGCAAGCGCCATCCAGTGTTCCGAAGAGAACCGAGGTCGATTGTGGATGCAAGCAGCCCGTAGCACAGATACCGCCTTGGCTCGCTTCAATTTTCCATATTTGAGCACCATTCTGCAAAATAACGCAGGTGAATATCATCATATCACGCAGAGTTGGGTAAGTTGATTTGTTTTTTTTATTAAGTTAAAAGTTAATTGCTTATAAATTAAACTTTATCGCGTCTTATGTTTCTAATTTCGTCTGTATATAATTATAATTAATACAGACCTCTACTGAAAGGCAATATACATAGTGATCGTAAGAACCCACAAATATCTTGCTCTTTTGTGCGCACGTTATCGCTGTGCACTTCACCATGTCCTGTGTTTGAAACTTCCAAATTACTTCGCCGATTTTTAAATGAATGCAGTAAATATACCCATCGTAACAACCTGCAATTGAAAGCTTTCAATGTGACAATTCTCAACGACCGTTTCATTGCACTGCGAGATGCGAGATGTTTACCTACAATTCCACGAAAGTCGGCTAAAACCAAGACAGAAGCTTCTATCCTGTCTGGTAATTTCAATTCATACGGTCTACTATTTTTTCCCACTAGATTAACCGTATATATAATCCCGGCATGTGAGCCAACTGTTGCGAACAATTCTGATCTAAAAATTAGCAAACATTATTAATACTTATAAGGCCAACCTTTGATATCCTGGATCTTGTAGGACTTTCGTGTGCAATATGTACCGAGTTCTTAAAAACGGATTTCAATTCAGATATAACTTAATAAAAAGCACTTACGCGGAATAACAATACACAGTTGGCGAAGCATCGACACACTTCTGTAAATTATAAGTTGCTGCTACTTCGATGGTTGATATATTTACGGAAGATAATTTGATGATTTGTTTTTGGGTTGATGCATTGCCATCAGTTCTTCCTCTGCACTTACACTGATAAGAATTATTTTGATCTGTCAATACGGAAAAATTATTCGAGACTGGTTCTTCCATTATGCATTTTTCTGTATCACAATTATTATTTTGAGCTTTGTCATCGTGAGAAACGGCAATGCAGTGATTGAGAGTCCTGTTCCAATCTTGATTGGTTAAAGTGGTTTTGATATAATTAACGCACTCGTTGAACGTCAAATTCTTCAGCAGCATACCGATCAATTCGGGAAATTCCACTTTAAATATCCCAATGGTGGCATTCGAGACCTGAAGTGCTGTTATCGACGTTCCTCCTGATGTTAAAAAACCAACATCTTTAGATTTTACATGTTGACTCCACAAATTTCCAAATATTTCACACACATCAGTGTATACATCATTTATACTGGTAACTTCCATTTCAGACTCCTTGCACGCTTTTCTTAGTGACGATAGACAAATTTTTCCACTGGTAGTAAAATAAAATTTTTCAAGTACAATTATTTTATCAGGTTTATAGATCGCTGGTAATATTCTTAAATGCGATATTATATAATTTTTCAAGTCGATTAATTCTTTCATGTTCACAGCGGATAAACATAGATATAATTTGTGGCTTTCTGTGTCCCAGAGTGCAGCACAATTCCGTATGAAACTTAATTCCATCACGACTCTCTCAAGTTCTCGCAAATTTATCTTGTTTCCAAATCTTTTCACCACATTATTTCGCCTCCCTCTGTAAAGCATTCTACCGTGATCATCTATCTAAAAAAAATATAATAATAATATTACAAATCTCTGAATAATGAATATCTTTATTGAAATCTTTATCTAATTTGAAGGAAATCTTCGCAAGAAATATAATTTGTTGATAAAACTTACTGAAATTATATCACCGGTATCACGAAAAACTGGCTTACATAAATCGTCCTCAGTTTCATCTCCAACAATACAAATTCTACTAGAGCTTCCTATGTTGAAGACAGATAGAACAAGTAAATTAAACTTAATAATTAAACTTCACAAATATGTCTCATATAACCATAATGTTAAAAACTAACCGATATAAAGGAAGCCTTTGCCTTTAGTTACTATCTCGTTGTCTTCATTTCTGACTTGAAACATGGTTTCTGATAAAGGTTCACCGATACAAGATTCATCTGTGCCTTTATTTCTAAAGATTTCATTAATACTAGACCAACAAGATACTTCAGTTATACCGTAAATGTTAAATAATCGCGTTTTATTCTGTGAATGACTAGCTTCGGAAAGTAACTTGATATTAGGGAATGGTTCTCCACCCAAGAGAAGAACTCTCAAGTGAGAATCCTTGTTCAAAATTGTGGCCTTCAAACGTTCTGTGGACCATTTATGGAAGAGTAGCGATGGAGTAATTTGAAGAACTGTTACACGAGCGCAGAATATCTTTTCCAACAGCCTAAAACATATTTATTTTTATCTAATGCATTATCTTGTTTTTTCCAATATTTATTTTCTAGAATGAATCCTTCAAATAACACTTATTCACCTGTCTGTGTCATTCTTCAGTTGTTTCGACACCATGAACAGAGTCGCAGCACATGACAGACTTAAGAAAATTTCAACAATACATGGATCGAAGGTAAAATTTGTTAATTGGGCAATTTTGTCGTGCTCTGTCATATCGAGAATTCTCCTCAAATCTGTGATATTAGGCAATACACAGGAATGAAGTATTTTAACAATTTTTGGTGATCCGGTTGATCCTGAAGTGGCAATTGCATATGCAAATCGATGCCATTTTCTGCCGCTAACAGTACTTTCTGGGACATCTATTAATTTTGTTAAATATACAGATTGTCCATGAACATTCAACTGACGCACAACTTCTCTATCAGATGTCACACATTTGGCAAAAATATATCTTATGTGTAAAGAATCGAATATATTTCGACATATTTGTATATCTGAAGGTACATTGAGAAAAGCATTCCCATTATCCAGAATCCTGCCAAAAAATTAATATGGATATAAAATAAATGCACATAACAAGTGGAATAATAAAATTTATCTCATAAAGTATTTTTGATCAATTAAAGGAATGTCGGTTCTTACCCAAGCATTAAAGAAGGCACACAGTATTCTAAAATATCAAAATTAATACCAATAAATTCAGGATACTGTATATATTTCAAACAGTCAGAGACTGTTTTTGTAGCAGCTTGCAATTCATTGTAACTTATAATCTTGACTTCTTGTAGATCATGATACTCTATTGCTGGTTTGTCAAGATAAAACCAATTGCATATATTGTGTAAAATATACGGACAATATTTGTTCTTGACATCTTGTACCTTTAACTTTTTAGTATAATTAACTAAAGGAAAGTGAAAAAAAAATATATATGCATATATATTATATGCACTAGAAATTACTTAAAATATTTTTACATTATCAGTAAGTTAAATATTTTTATTGTATATATATATATATATATATAATTAAGGGTAGATTTGATTGTATACTTACTTGTACAGCTCATGTTACACTTCAAAATGTACTTGCACAGATATTACATTTTTTAAATTGGTTTTTTTTATAATTAAATATATATTAATGAAATTCAATTATAACACATTATAGTTTAAATACTAGTGAACATTTGTTCATGGAGCGGCTCACGTGTAGGTTATGTTTTGGCTGGTATTAGGGAGAATTCACACCTTAGCAGAAAAACAGAAAGCTGCAGCCAATCAGAATTCGCGCTGATAGTTGACTGAATATTAGTATACGTAAAGTGCGATCTACAATGAGAATCTAAGCCTTAAAAAACTGACCAATCACAGTCGAATGTGAGAAGAATATGACTGTGATTGGTCAATTTCTTAAGGCTTAGATTGTAGACCCCCGCTTAAGATACGACCATGAATACTGGCCTATAACTTGATGAATCCTTGTCATTCAATCCGAGTACAATCAGTTTTTCAACACAGATACACGATGATAATCAACAACTGATAAGATCCTGTTCTTCTTGACCTTTGCCTCTGGCGAAAACCGTCTTGTACTTTTCCAATGACATTTCAGATGTCGTCTTCGGTTAGCCAGCGACCATCTACCACCAGGTAGCGCCAGTTTCGAAGCAGCCCGCGATAGCCACGGCGAACTGGTCGGCCGAGATGGCCCGAGTTGTTAGTACGAGTACGACGAGTGAGCTCGCGTCGTCGGGTTGCGCGCTCGAATTTTAGCGATTTCGTTTGGCGCTGAATTGTACGCGATAACGCGGAATGTCGAAGTGAGGGTGCCGTCCTGACGGCCGACTCGCGTGCGCGAATTTTGAAAGCGAGGACGACGGAGACGTTCCGTTAACTTTTTCGTCAACCGCTACGATCGCGCGCGCAGTCGAAGTACTTCGTTTCCACGAAGAAGAGGAATATACGTCGTTGATTTTGGATAAATCCGTACCGGGTATCAGCTGGCGTGATACGTGGCCGCGTCGTCGGCACGGTTTCCTCGTTCGGGATCGTCGACTTTTCCAACGGTGGAAGCGAGCGAGAAAGAGGAGGAGAGTTGGAGGGATGTGAATTCGGGTGACGCTCCCAACGACGCGTATTCAACAAGGCCACGTGGACGACGTCGGTAGCCAGGAAAAATGTGAGTCTCCTTCCTCTCTTGTAATCCTTACATTACGCGCGCGTGCCCGCTTACCTTGACTTTTTCCTCCTTGTTGAAGCGCGAATTCGCGTTCCGAACACTACGCAATCGTCGTCGTCACGTACGACATCGTTTTTCACAGGAAAGTCAGCTTCCTCGACAAGACCGACGAGACCGCGGATTTTTCAATGCGCTATTTAACCCAGAGACAGGCATCCGAGTAAAATATTTTTATATTCTTGACATATGTTTAGAATATCAGAAGTAATATTCCAGTGATACGAAATAATACTTACGGAATATTAATAGATGAGACACGTACGAAATTTTGCGGAAACCTCATATGACTTCTCAATGAGGTTCCCACGACTTGTGTTCTCTATGTAGTTCACATTTATGATCTCAATAGAAATTTTTCGATAGAGATATTAATAGATTTGCCGTAGGTAGAATATTTAGATTTTAATTTTGAGGTGGGCGTGAGTTTTTATCAGTTAGAGAATTGCGCGTACAAATAGTTCGTATGACGATTCAAGGAAAACATTCGAATCTAAATTCAGGTCCGAGTATCTCAGCGTGGGACAAATTTCAAATAACGACTGTATTAATACAGGCCTAAGATGTCTAAAAACATTCTACTTGTTTCAGACGTCTGTTAAATGTTTCCGAAATATTGTGCCGCATTTAAGAAGAATTGCCACGTATTTCAAGTCGCGGAAAGAATTTCGTTGGTTTTCAAATTTCGGAAAAATCATTGTCGAGTAACTTTCATGTAGGCGAGCCGATGACAATCGATCGGATCAAATTGAGACGCGTGACGAAAAGCAAAAAAGTGAAAGGTCTGACGAGAATTACGCGATGCACTTTCTTAACTTTGTCTCTTTCTCTCTCAGCCCTGTCATAGAATTTTATTTACGACGGGAAATAGGAAGGAAGTAACGAAGAAAACCGTCACCCGGAGTTCGTCATCGTTGAATCGCTTGTTTTTAAATGTATTCGCGTTGGACTGTTATCTGTGTTGTGTGGAAATTGCTGGCAATCAGATAACATCGTTGAAAAAAAGAAGAGCCTTCTGTTTTCGCGGCGCCGTCGTCGTCCACTAACGATTAATTCGCCTGAATGTATCCGCGTAAAATTACTCCGACTGTTAGCGAAAAAACGTTCGTGTGCGGAAATCGAGCCGAATGCTCAGTAAAAGCAATCCTAGAGAACGGGAGATGCATCAATCCCTGGAAATATCCAACGTTCAAAACAGATAGGCGTGCACAAATTGCAACGACACGTTACTAGTCGATTTGTCTGCGTTCTTTACAAGCGGTTTATATAATATTCATATTTATCACACAGAATGTCGAAAGAGAAATATGAAGAAAATATCGAAGTTTACTCGAAAAAATATGTCATGCAAAATATAACATAAAAATCTGAGTGTATACTTTTAGCAAATTTGTCGCAAATTTGCCTTAGATTATTCTTGCGCTTCCACGAAACGAATGTCCGCGCAAAGCCAAAGAAAGGCGCGTCATTGTTCGAATATAGCGCAGGTAGTATCCTTCGAGGCTTCAATCAACCCGCCGCGATAACGAGCCGCGCGATAAGCGCGAATGCGCGTTCGCGACAAAGCTGGATCCCTCGTTGTTGTCCATCATCGTTGCGTACACGCAATATTATGAACAAACCTATGAGAGAGAGAGAGAGCGTATTTTTCGCGTGAGCGAATCGACACACAGCTGCATCTTCCTCCGGAAAATACAGGATCGGTATCGTGCAAAATTACTCCCAGTTTCGCATCGGTGAAATAAATCGACGAGACGTTCCGCGTGGACGTACCACATCAGAGGCTTTTATATAGTAATAATCTGTCGACACAACGATAGATGATAAGAGATATATCACACACTTATAGCAAACTTGACTAAATTTCTTCCGCCACTTTGAATTTCTCAGACTTGTAATCGGCGACGACCCTGTAATAGATTTCTACGAAAAAAAGGATGAAATATGGGCGAACTTTTGAAAACTCCTTTCCTTTACGCGTGCACCGCGTGCGCAGATGTGCCAGTATGTCCGAGGACGATACGCAGGAAGCAGTCAGCGAGGAGACCGGCAGACAGGGGTCCCTCTACGTGTTCCCGAGTGCAGGCCGTCCCAGCTCTGTGACATCTTCATTGTCGTCGTCGACGACGACGACGGCGACGATCCAGTCGTCCTTCCTCCACAGTGGCTCGACGGACACCTCGACTTCGACGAGCACGACGATGACGAGCAGCAGCTTGACCACCGCATTAACAAAGGCCGACAATGGCGACGAAGACGAGGACGCCGTGGTGGAGGTGACATCGCCCGGCAGGAGACGGCCGTTCCCGAAGACGCACGCAAGATCGGCCAGCCACGGTGGCGTCTTGGCGGACTGCGCGACAGGATGGCACGGATCCTTCCTGGGCCCGCTGACGACGTTGAGCGGCGGAAGCGCTCGGCCGTCGGCGTTGAAGAAGCCGGGTCACCAGAGAGCCTTCAGCCAGGGTCAGGTGGCGGACGTACAATCCGTAACGGGACACAACCGCGTCGGCTCCAGAACGGACTTCATCCTGCCGCCGGGTCACAGGGAGGACGGCGGCAGGCCGTCCGGCAGGATGCCTTCTTTTCGGGGCCATTCGCGCCAAGCGTCCAGGTAGAGAGATCACCGTTACAAACCGATGTAACTTCACTCGAAGGAATTTCTTAAAAAATAAATTGTGTACATTAATACGCGCGGAATGATAGAGAGGAAGAAAAGCTAAACGATCGTGTTCGCAGATCGGAGTCTATATATACGATAAGACGTAGCGTCGCGCCCCCCTGGTGGAGAAGGATATGGGCCCACTGTTTCGGTCCACTGCCAGAAGAGCCTCGTTTAAGGACAATAGTTCCGAATCACTTGCTTTTCCCAGCGAGTCAGCATCCTAACGGCGGAAGGGTGGACAACAGGTTGAATCGCATGTCACTAGTGTGACATCTTCATTGTCGCATGTTACTTATTTCTCACATCGTTTCGTTTGCAGAGTGCGCACAACCAAGTACACGGCGCTGAGCTTCCTACCTCGCAACTTGCTGGAGCAATTCCACCGCGTGGCCAATTTGTACTTCATATTCATCGTGCTGCTCAATTGGGTGCCGGCTATAAACGCCTTCGGCAAGGAGGTCGCTATGATCCCGGTGGTCTTCGTTTTGGGTGTCACCGCGCTCAAGGACTTCTTCGAGGACCGTCGGCGTCTCGCCAGTGACCGGCGTGTGAATAATTCCACCTGCCGAGTCTACGTTAGGTGAGTAGACGGCGGTCGAAGCCGTATAGCGTGTGAAGTGCACTTTACTTCCCCGTTGGAAAGACATGTCGAGTTTCTTATCGTCAAAATATTCATACAACGTCGCACGTACGCTAAAGTTATTTTTCTAACAGCAGGAGTTACTTGTTTCTGCAACGAGCCGCGGTATCTTTTAAAGAATAGCCAACGCTAACTGTAGGTCGCTAAATTTCTGCAGTCATTCGTATCACGTCTGGATGTGCATTACGACTGTTGATTGTTCTGTCATTTTGATATAGCTTATACCCGGACAGTCCAAAGACGAGGAGAAAAATGAGTTTTCCCTCTGGTAAATATTAACGCTTTATTGAAGCTTGGGGTTCGTTAAAAAAAGAACGTCGCCGGGATAACGTGGAAATATGAACGATAGGATGATAATGACGGAGAAGCTGTGAGCACGGAGCGGTTATGCGCCGCTCCTCCGATGTTCGGTTGAGGGATGTTAGTAACGAGAAATCAACGTTAATTCCGAGATTAATCTCAACTGCGCGCCGTTAAAGCACAAATTACTCTCTTCCGAATTAAGAGCTCAGCTTTTATCTTATGCATGTCTGTCATCAGGCCACGAGAGAGAGATAATGACTCTCGATGCAAAATTTCCGAACTTTCATTCCGCTGTCAACGAACGTATCGTTACTTTTTATTGGCATGTTTCATATAGGCCGCAAAAGGAAGGATTCACGTGTGAAAACGGGAACGTTCAATTTTTCATTCAGAGGAAAAGAAAAAAGAGAGAAGCAGTATCGGCTTTATGCGTTATCCTCGATTGCGTCCCCGCCTCAGTTAGAATTCTGCGGCAGCGGAATCCCCGATATATCGATTCCAATAAGACCGACAATTCTGGATATGTAGGTCACGTACACGCGCGGCCTGTGCACGCGCTTGAACACGGAAAAGAAAGTGTCTTCTTTCTTTTCCTGGCTTTTTCTCTTTCTTTTCGGAGCAAAAAATGGGAAGGACTGCCAATTGAGGGCCAACAATTGTTTACCTTCTTCTCTCATACAGAGCTCTGAGAATTTTTTTTCTAATTTTTATCAACTTTTTAGTACTTCACTTCCTTGCGTCGGTAAACTTTATGTTTTTTTCTGCTGCTGAAGGGACAGAATGCTGTGCACAAAAATAAAATGTGTGCCAGATAACACCGTGGTCTCCCCTACTTCGCGCCGCGACGATATTGCGCTACCAATTGACATCTCATTCACCTTGTTTACACGCGGAATCAGCGTCTAATCGGTTGCAACGAGCGCCGTTGTTCGCTATCATATGCCGCGCGTTGTCTCAGGTAAACAACGGAATTGTGCGGCGAATTGAAGGATAACGCAGAGTGTTCGCACTTTGAATGCCACGCGATGACTCTATCCGAACACGTGTGCGCGAAACGTCCTCAGCAGGCGGGTCGCGCGTCACGGAGGAGAGGTTGTTGCGATCGAACCAGATAGAATCCGCGGGCGAGATACGCTTGCGCCGATATACCCGCCGTATGTACACGTGCCACGTAGTGGATTGCAGTGCGCCACAAGGACAGCTTGGCAGATTAAATCGCGCTTACAGGGCTAACGAACTTCGAAATATATCGTCTCGCGCGATTATCTAAAAAGTTGAATAATTCGGAGGCGGCTGTCACGCGGAAGCGATTCTCGCCGAAAACGGATAGTCAGATTCGGGATCATATTCTCTTTTATCGATAAAAGTGCCTCCGAAAGTAGCTTAAGGAACCACCTGATTGGCTAAAAAGCCACGTTTATTAGGTACAAATAAGTCCAGTGTCTTTTTAGCATGATTTTCATATTTATTCGCAACAAAAAAAAACGTATAACCTGTTAATCCTTGAAATAGTCCATCATTTTCCATCATTTTCCACACACTTTTGCCACGTTTTTGGCCAGCTGGCGAATTTCTCACTTTTGCGTTTAATAACGTGTTTACAGCGAAGCGAGATAGGTAGTTTGACGAATGTACTTTTTATTTATATGGATCGGAAGAGATATTATTAAGCGAAAAATCAAGAAAAAGAATTAATTTTTTCCATCTTGTAATATCCGCATAGTTTGAATTCTGTTCGCGGATTGACAGCCGATTGATTGTATCGAATCCTGAATAATTATATTCGCCTGGGATAGTATGACAAATCGATCGTTCGTGCAATCATAATCGCGCTTCTGATTAGCCTCGCGATCCCAGTAAATCCTAGCTTTATTCATAATGCAGTGTAATCGGATAATTGATCGATTACCTGGCAATATACCCGATACGTAGTCCCTGTGGCTACCTGGCGACCTTGTCCTTTGCCGTAATATACGTCTTGTCGATTTCTCATCAATTTTAATTTACTCCCGGCCATGCTCGCGATTGCAATTGTTCGGTAATTTCTGCGGAGCCAGTTCCCGAATCCAATCGGCATTCCTAAAAGTATCGTTATTCAAAATTGAGGGAAGTCACGGAGGGGGGGGGGAGGTGAACGAGAGAATGCAATTTTGCCACTCATAGGCGGAATAACATTCTAAATTATTCGGCAGATAGTCTAATGAATTGTTGATTAGAAAATACATTTTAAATTAAGTAGCAATAGAGCACAGACAGTAAGAAGTTTCGATTTTAAAGAAGCAGGGTTGCTAACAAAAACCGAATTGGAAAACCGAGGAAGGTCGTGGAAAATTTAGAAAAGTCGGGGAAAGGTATTAAAAAAAACATAATTTTGAACTTTGCCTACAATTCCCTTAAATGTTCTCACAACTGTATTCTTTTTCCCATTACTTATTATTTTGTTGGCCTGAATTTGCATTCGGGATTATATTACGTTGTTAAACTTTTTTGTGCTGCTTAAAGTTAAAGAAAGGACACAAAATCGCACGTTTTTCTACTTGAAATAGCTAAGTATCATGATATCATTGTCCTAGTCGCAAAAGCAAAGTTTATGGAGAAATAATATCCATTTTTTATATTTTTGAGGCATAAGCAATGAGGAAGTAACAGTTGCAATCCGGGGAGCAGAAAATTAATAAAAATTTCTTACACTGTCACAAACAAACACTAATAAAATTTGTCGTGTAATCCATCGTCGGTGTGAGCCTCGATATAAAAAAATGCATTCGAAATACATCACAATGAAATAAGGATCTAAATTAAACGAGATAGTGTTACGTTCCGGAGCGATTGACGTAACAGGATCTCTTACGTAGCGCTATCGGATGATACATTCGCGTGCTTTATTCAAAAAACGATCGATTCGAAATTACGTTGGCGGCTGTTGGCGACTCACAGTGCTATATTTCTCTCTCTTTTTTTTTTTGAATCGTGACTTTACGTTCATTAATCGTGAAATTTATCGTTTCACCGAACGCAACATATCCGCATAATGGCGTCTCTCTCTCTCTCTCTCTCTGTTCCCTCGAGCCAAATCGATCGTAATCCCCCTCCTGCACCAAAGACCTTGACATTCGCATTCATTACTATTACCCTTTTATCTCTCACGTCTGTGGCGCGAGGCAATCTGTTGATTCCGTTTATTAGGAGAATACTGTGATTACGACTTCTATGAGCGATTACGACCCAGTCGTGTGTCAGCAGATTTTCTTTATCGACAACAACGTATATACCGAAAATTTACAATAGGAATTGTGTTGAGGCGAGGCAGCGAGGCATCGGTGGATAAAAAGTACGTTGAAAGATGAGAAATTTGCGAATTGCAAAATTAGAACACGCTCGCATTCGTCGTAGACGGTATTTTTTAAAGCGATCAATGAGATTTCGAGTTAAATGAAGAATACGTACGAAGATGATGAAGTTATGAGTCACAACATTGAAGCATGCTCGTTATGAATACGTGTTTGATACATCTAGGTCTAATTCATAACCCGGCCGCCGAGCATGCTCCGTACACGCAACCTTGACTAACATTGTGATGTGCGTGCGGTAATAGTTTAATAAGTCGGAAGGCGAGTCGAAGCAATCGGTTTAGTCGCGAAGCAGCGGGCTGAGTAAATTTTTGGGAGCTATTTCCGTCTGATTAGCATTTACATTTGAGAATTTTACTTGGCCGAAGATCTGCGTATCGCAACAAATCTCTAGTCTCGTCTGGAAAGCGGTCGCAATCCAGAGCCTTTTCCAGATTCGTTCGAATGAAAAATGTCCGGGAGGCGTCGCGTGAACTGCTAATCATCCCACTTGTCTCGCCTATTTGACATCGATTGCGCGAAGCGTGCATCATTGACCTTCGTCGATGGCGATTCATAGCGACAACCTTTAGGCACGCCATCGCGTTGAAAATGCGAAGTCGTAAGGCCCGTTGTGTTCTATATTCCTTTTTCTGCGAAGCTACAGAAAAAAAAGGAGCGGAACGATCTTTTTTGTGATGATAATGCGCTTTCCGGGGATCGGAATAATGTGTTCTCATGTTACAATGCAGAGCGTTCGAAACTCGCGAAAATCCGTGGGGATCAATTCAGCCGTGCTGATAGATAGAATGCTTCCTTCTCTTGCGGAGCTTTCGATGTACCGTTAAGCGGCTAGTGACGTCATCGGTTACGTCATGTAAGAGAGTATCGCGATGCGGATGTATACATACATACATACATACATACATACATACATATATATATATATATATATATATATATATATATATACAGAGCCTGCATGTATATCCTTGCCTTCCTGCTGCTTCCCCGAAACACGCTTGAGGCCCTAAAATATCGACGAGCGAACCGGTCAAATCCATAACAGTGGAGGCTTCGTTTCGTCAGCGACTTCCGTGGGAAGCTGTTGTTAGCATACATCATCTGGAGGCGAGTTGATAAAAACAATTACCCTTTTTCTTAAAGGATAAAAAAGAAGCTAAGTGCATGTGCTTCGTCGTTGTTTTGCTTTTACAATAAAAAAAAATAGAACAAAAAGAATACGAATAGAAAATGGTATTTCTCATCCTGTCGCACGATGTATAATTAGAAATGCCACCCTTAAAATTATTATCAAAATACCTTTAATTTTTGTCAAAATTATTCTGCCTCTCTCTTTCTCTCTCTCTCCAACAAATCTGCCGTGAAATTCCATCAAGATCCAACGATTTATCAACATACGAAACGGTGAAAAACGAAGTAAAAAATTTTTCCGACGTCTTGGGAAACTCTCCCGAAAGGCACGCCGTTTACTGATTTACGAATTTTTCGGTACGTATGCGAGCGTTACGATTTTATTCGATACTCGTCGAGCGTCCCGCTGTGCAAACGGAGAATTCGTTTCGGTCTCGGCAAACATTTGCATTGCCACCGCCGCGGTGCCGTTCGCGAAGCCGTGCGCGATATCCATTTTTGCGGTGACGACAGCGTCCGAGTAGCCTTAGGAGTTCTTTTATGCAATGGATTTTACGCGATGATTTGTCGGTTGCCCTGAACTATCCGTTAAGTACTACTGACTCTGCTCGTGCGTCTATATAATTCAGTTTGCGTTTCCAGCACTATTTTTCTTGCCCTGTCACAGGATGTATTAGGCGTATAAATAAGTTCGGTACCTTTACATTTGACGTATTGTGATTCTGGTTCAAATTTAAATTTTTTTCTCGCCCTAGGATAATTTGAAACGCCAGTCTTAAACTTTAAGAAGCACTGTAATAGTTGACGGCCTTGCCGATGTAACATCAGAAAACAGTAATTATCATGATGTCGTCCAAAAAAGAGCATCTCATTCTCAATAACTTCAGTTACAATGGCTTTAGTTTATTCCACGAAACAGACTGCACCTCACTCGAGGAATGTTACAAACTTCACTCGCTCATCAGACTCATAATCGGATTTTTATCGCAAAGTTATTACCGAATGTATTTACGCAATTACGGAGCGGAGTAATTAAGAAACATTAATGCGGACGGAATAATCCGTTACGAACCGTTGCACAAATAGAGGGGAAGAAACGTAATTTTTACTGCCGTTTTGTAGTTAATATAATTGCTTCTACGGCGATGCAGTGAAGGCAACGCCTGAACCGCAGGGACGACGATGACTGATCGTCCCGACTGAGTTCGCAATTTCATTGTAGCGAAGGCGACAGATACGTGAAGGTAGCGTGGAAAGATGTCAAGGTGGGTGACCTGGTCCATCTCTCGAACAACGAACTGGTACCAGCCGATCTCTTGCTTCTGCGAAGCAGTGATCCTCAAGGATTAGCTTATCTCGATACGTGCAATCTCGACGGCGAGTCGAATCTGAAGCAGCGCCAAGTTGTCAGAGGTTTCCTCGATCTGCAGGATACCTTTCAGCCGTCCAAGTTCCGATCGGTGATCGAGGTCGATCAGCCAAGTACTAGAATATATAGGTAAATACTCAACGATTTATCACATCCGATAGTCCAATGAGAGAACTTGTCTTTCGAAAACAAGTTCTCACTGGACCATCGTTCCAAAAAACAAGTGTTCAGGCAGTTTTGTAACTCATTTGGATATGTTCAACTTTACTTTTTTTTTTATTTAAACATATTGTCGACAAAGATATAACTAGTAGTAAATATCTACGACAAAATACTACGAGGAAAAGGAAAATCTCGTCATATGATTGACAGATGTCATTTTTAAATTAAGCCATTTCCTTCGGATCTTAATAAATTCGTCCCTGAAGAACTAAACCATTGGTGCTCAAAAGGCGCCGTATGTACAATAGCGCCATCTAAAATTTCTTCTAAAACTCGAGAAATGTCGTCAGTCAGTGGCAACAATTTTTCTGTTTTAAGTCGGTTTATAAATTAGCGGTAGCTCCATTTAAATGTAAAAAGTTGCTCCGTAAATTTATTTTCATCTTTTGCATTTTAACAGCATATTAATCGATCTATACGTATGTAAAATTAGAAGAAGGCTGACCATATCGAAGCAAGCATTATTTACACGTATCGCAGATACGAAAATTTCCGATCTCACGTTTTTGACTCTATCACGAAAAACGAGAAGATGATAACAGAGACCTGTAGAAATATAAAAAATTACAAGGTCGTTGACCATCTAATTTACGGGAAACTGATATGTAAAATACACAATTTCTGATAACGGTCTGATAACGATAGAGGTATATGACATTTAATCTCTTACAATTTGGCAATGTAGTACGCGTTACATTTCCCTTTGTGCCTCTTGGTTAAGCATTTAACCCTCGTCTAACAAGATTGGGTTGAACCCGACCGGAGCCATATTCTGATACTTCAGCGCTGGTGAAGCGTAGCGTGTTATGGTTTCGTGAATCTTTCAAGCCAGTCTTCCCGCAGCGGCTAGTAGCATAAGGTAAATGAAATTGTATTATCTTATCCGGTACAAGGTCTAATTTCCTCAACCGGTTCGCTCTCCCGGTCGAATCCGACCCTTGTTATTAAAACGTTACATTTATTATTTTATTTTTCGTGACAAAGTATTTGTCATAGATTAACAATGATAATAACAATATATAATCATTTGTTGACCAATTAAAGGGAAAAAAACGGATGACTCTTTTACTTAAAATTTTTCGAAAATGTGAAGACTGTGAAACTTGGAACGATTTACAACATCTCTGAAAAAACCATTAATTTTTTTTATTTCTTCCCAGTGAGAAATGACTCGTCGATTCGGTGTTAAATCTATGTCAAATAGATGAGTCATTTCGACATCGGATAAAAAGTATCATATTGTTATCATTTCGTTCTCGAAACGAGATTTTACGTGTAAACGCATTAAATTACAACAGTGAAAATTGAGTAAAACGGCTGTCATTTATGTCGGTTTATTTAAGGCAACTCGAAAATAAATCAAACGAACGTCGAGTTTTTTGCCGGCTGCAACATCGAGTTAATTTCGATGTCCAAGATTCGTTTCGACATCGTTTCGATATTATCTTCCTTACTAGGAATTACGTTTATAAACATTAGCACAGATTCGTCTAGCTCTTTCATACTATATTAATTTCTTCAATCGTATTATCACGGACCAACCTACCTCAAAATCCGAAAGACACGTCAGCGTTTTCTTGAGTTTCATTAGGAATTTTAGATGGCATCGGCTGCGGTGCCCTTCGAGCGGAGTTCGATAATTTTCGGGAATTCCATAGAAGAGAAAGAAAAAAATCTCTTTCGTCTTAATCGGCTGATTCGTACATAAAACACCATAGGATTTCCCAGCATGCTCCTCTTTGATACGTAACTTTCACTCGTACTGAAATACGAAACTTTCACTCGACATTGCCGGCAATTTATGCCGCTTATCGCGACCGCTATTTATATTATTGCGATAGATAGATGTTTAAGGCGGAATTCGCGTTAACCGCAGATTATTACGTATGATTCACGTACTGCTGGTGTTGTATCTGCTAGATTTCACGGCGCCGTTGTACACCCGAACGGCGGCAGGGTGCCCGTGTCCACGGAGAATCTCTTGCTCAGGGAATGCGTCTTGAAGAACACCGACTTCGTCGAGGGTATAGTCATATACGCTGGTCACGAGACCAAGGCATTACTGAATAACGGCGGACCAAGGTACAAGGTAAATGTCAAGGAAAACAGATCAGAGGTGTAAAATAATATCAAGTGGCGTACATTACAAAATAGTATGCGATCACTTGATAAAATGCTCCGACCTTCTTTAGCGTTTAGTTAATATTCCGTACAAAATAAATTACAGTTTTTGGGAGTGACATACACACGTTTTAGTATATATCTGAAATATTTCCATGAATAATGAACGACAGATTGAAAGTTCTTCTCCAACAGTCACTATAATTCTTAATTAATGCGTGCGCTTCATAAGCATCTAGCGTGTAATTCGCTTGTCCGTTTGAAAGTTGAGCAAATCTGTCGACAAATGTAATGATGCACGTGGCATTTTCAATAAAATAATTGTTTATTGATTTCACCGGTGTTTCAACAGCAAAAATGGTACATACAGTAAAATCGGATTATACGCGTCGCAAAGAAGTTTCGCTTGAATCTTTTCAGCGTTCTCGTCTGGAGAAACACATGAACCGGGACGTGAAGTGGTGCGTGGTGATATTGATGGTGCTATGCCTGATCGGCGCATGCTGCTGCCGATTATGGTTGGCTACGTACGAGGACACCGGGCCGATACCGTTTCTGCCGGTGCCGCACGAGCCGCTCTACGAGAGCATGCTGACCTTCTGGACCTACATCATAATATTTCAAGTGATGATACCGCTCAGCCTGTACGTGACGATCGAGATGGCCAAGGTGGGGCAAGTGTATCACATCGGCCACGACCCGGGCCTCCACGACGCGGAAACCGGCCGTAAGGCCGAATGCCGTGCGCTGAATATCACGGAGGAACTAGGCCAAGTGAGTGATTCATATTGAATGAATTCGATTGTTTTTACACGCCGAAAGGATCATTTCGTCCGATATTGAGAGAGAAATCGACCGATTCGTCTCTCAAAGTGCTTCCCGTAAACATGAAATTATATAATATATATAATTTCACATAAAATAATAAGTATTATTACAAATATTAGTGCAAAATAAAACATAAAATTATATAATATTATATAGTAACTGAATATTACGTTAATATCACCGGCAGGTACAGTACGTCTTTTCTGACAAGACCGGCACCCTCACAGAAAACAAAATGCTATTTAGGAGATGCGCGGTGGGCGGCCAGGATTATTCACACATGGGCGACAACGAGAATCTCATTCCGTGCTCGCGGCTTAAGGAGGACTTGCTCATAGGTACATTTCGACATCGCTTACAGGAGTTTCTTATTGTCTTAGCCACGTGTAACACGGTTGTCGTTAATTCTCAACCGCATCACGATATTATGAACTCTAGCGGGGTCATCGAGGAACCTCAGAAAAACGGCACTGGCCCGACGAGGTTGGTACACGCTGAATTAGCGAAATAAATAGAAAAAAAAAAACAAAAGGAGAGAGACGTTGAAAGAATAAATATTTTTCCGACATTTCGTACCTCTTATAGGGAAAATATGAAAATAAGATAATTTGCCGCGTCAATGAGAAAAAATAGTAGTAGATCCGTTGTTGCCTTGGCACTGTTGTCGCCAAGTTCGCAATCGTTGACACTGTTGTACCCGACAGAACGACGGAATTCCCGACCGCCGCTTCGCCGCCGATACCGATGTCGCCGAACAACGGGGCCGTTCCCCCCACGTTGTCCCCGATCAGCACGGCGAACACGTTCGACGACACGTCCAGGTTTCCGTTCAAACTCACCAGGTTGGTGCACGCAGAGACAAAGAGAGAGAGAGAGAGAGAGAGAGACGATGTTTATTATCCCCGCAGGCCAAAGTTGCTGAACGTAACGTCGATACCGAGCCTGTTGGGCGGGCGCAAACAGTCGCCGGACGGCTCGAAGAGTCCGATGGACGCGAGGAACGGCGAGCTGCTGCCGCCGGCGATCTACGAGGCAGAGAGCCCGGACGAGCTGGCGCTCGTGCACGCGGCGCGCGCCTACGACGTCAAGCTGCTGAAACGTACGCCCCGCAGCTCGATCGTCTCCCTACCGGACAAGTCCGTGTTGGCCTTCGAGATACTGCACGTAGGTTTTCTCTTCCCAGCGATTCGAAAGAAAACCACTGTTGGAATTTTGCTCCTCATAGGTGTTGCCGTTCGACTCGAACAGGAAGCGCATGTCGGTGCTTCTGAGGCATCCGCATACTCGCGAGATCGTGCTGTACAGCAAGGGCGCCGACACGACGATGCTGCCGTCGTTGTCGGCGAACGACGAGAACGCCGTCGCCGCGGCCAACATCCGGCAGTATCTGCAGTCGTACGCTCGTCAGGGGCTGCGCACCTTGGTGATGGCGCGGCGAACGCTGAACGAACAGGAGTACGATGCGTGGCGGCAGAAGCACAACGAGGCGGAGCTGGCGACGGATAACCGCGAGCGTCGCGTACGCGACTCGTACGCGAGCCTGGAGTCGCACTTGACGCTCCTCGGGACGACCGGCATCGAGGACAAGCTGCAGGCGGCCGTGTCCGAGACAATGGCCGCCCTCATCGGCGCCGGGATCGTGGTGTGGGTTCTCACAGGTCCGTGTCAAACCGGTTTAACACGCGCTATTTTCAGTGCGACCATCATCCGCGCTCATCGGTTTGTTATGTAAAGGGGCGATGTATCGAGAAAGAGAGAGGAAACGCACGAGCGTAATCAGCAGAGACACGTTTCAGGTGACAAACCAGAGACCGCGGTGAATGTGGCATATTCGGCGCGGCTCTTCTCGCCGGCTATGCAGCTGCTGCATCTACAGGCGAAGTCCAAATCCGTGGCCGAGACGCTGATACGGAGCTACCTGGAGTCGGCGCGCAGGGAGAGCGTGAACAACGCGGCACAGCAGCGGCAAGAATCGACGCATCCCGCGGACGCGCACAGGATAGGCAGCCCACGGCAACGCGCCCTCGTCGTCGACGGCAAGACGTTGACCGTGATCCTCGATCTGCGATCGGGCCTCATCGGCCCGTTCCTGGAACTCACGAAAACATGCTCCAGCGTTTTAGCCTGCCGTGCCACGCCGTTGCAAAAGGTGAGAAATTTCTTGGAAAAATTCACTTTCCTCTGTATTTGTGAGAATCCCAAGAATAATTCCTCTTCTATATTTCAGGCGTACCTAGTCCGCATCGTGAAAAAGCAATTAGGGATGAGAACGTTAGCGATCGGCGATGGTGCGAACGACGTTAGCATGATACAAACCGCTGACGTTGGCGTGGGCATCTCGGGTCAAGAAGGCACGCAGGCGGTGATGGCAGCGGATTTCGCGATTTCTCGTTTCTCCATGCTCAGCCGGCTCCTTCTTGTGCACGGACATTGGTGTTACGATCGTCTCGCCAGAATGATTTTGTACTTCTTTTACAAGAACACCACCTTCGTCTTCCTCATATTCTGGTTCCAGGTACGCAAAATAGTTTGAAAGTCGGGACATTCTCACTTTTTTCTCCTTTTATCTCTCGTAGTTTTACTGTGGCTTCTCCGGTGCTGTAATGATGGACCAAATATACGTAATGCTGTACAACTTACTGTTCACCTCGCTGCCGCCCTTAGCTCTGGGCATTTACGATCGGATCGCCACGCTTCATGTACTTCTCTCAGCACCAGAATTGTACAAAAGAGGACGCTTAGGGCTGGTCTATCAGTCGTATTCCTTCTGGATTACGATCATCGACGCTCTGTACCAAAGTATCGTCATCTTTTTCATCAGCGAAGCGGTTAGTATCAGATTAATCAATGACGTGATCGCGATGGCATACCCGTTTCTTGTCTCTTCAGGTTTATCATGACTCGACCATCGATATATGGGAGTTTGGTACGACTATTATGACGGAATGCATCGTTGTCATGTTGCTTCATGCTGCCATAGAAACTAGATCTTGGGTAAGTGAGGGGAGTGACAATCGCTGTCGTCAGAAGCGTAACATGCGTGTATGCAGCACTGATGTTGTACATTTTTAGACTATAATTCATATTGGTGCCATCATGGGTTCCTTGGGTGTGTTCTTCGGATTTTGCCTATTTTATAACGCCGTTTGCGTGAATTGTATGGGTTTACCCGGATCCTACTGGATAATGGAAAAGGCATTTGCACGTCACACGTATTGGCTCACAGTGGTGCTCACGTCGGTCCTCGCGTTAATGCCAAGGCATGTATCACTTATGGATCATCACGATTGTTAATCATGCGATATCGATATATTCACACAAGTTGCTTTTGCGTTCATTGATGATTAAAGATTAGTATGCAAGGCTGTCAGCGTTGTCGCGCCGAGCACCATGCAAATCGTCTCGCTCAACGTCACCGCGAAGAGCGGCTTGCAAGTTCGCCAACGTATCAGCCAGAGAGGCGAAATCAACTTTATCGCTGGCTGGTCGCGCTCCTCGCAGCACGCTACCATCAGGTACATTGTCGTTCGATAATTACGAGTTATTCGTCCGTATTTATCGTTGATTATTCATTACAGACCCGACACGTACAGCAGCAAAAGCGATGCTCTCACGACCATCGTCGCGTGACACCGCCGCGACGATCATCAAGCGTGTCTGCCTCGTTAACTTGAAAAGCCGACCAAGAAATAGGAAACACCTTTTTCCCTGTCGTGAATTCTCTACGAAACGTTCTTGCTAAAACCTTCTGACCTCACCGATGATCGCCTTCATCCCTGACGATCCTTGACAATCCTACTATATCCCCTGATATCGAACCAGGATAGTTACATAGTAAGTTGACGGTCGGTGCCGAGAATTCGTCGGCTGTTGCTCCACCGTCATCGCGTTGTTGTTCTAGATATTTCACAATAACGCTCCTTTAATTGCCATTCCCCCTCCCGAGTTTTCGCGGCGCTAATGATTTTGAATCAAGTGGCCTTATTATCTCAGATCGTTCATTGCATTTAATGGCTGTGACTTCTAGGGGACCAAGACTGTTGATTGAATCGCAGACGACCGGAGGTTCGCTCGGCGATGCTCGCGCGAGTGAAAAATCTACGGTGCGGTTGTCAAACATTTTTCTCGATCTAGATTCGACTTTATTCGGAATATCTACTCGCAACTTCATTGTTTTCGAGCGGATTGTGCGGAAGACCAATGTTAAAAACAAGCGAACGTGTTTACCTTTGAGAATAGGTGTACGAAGTGTACATATAAGATGTTCCTACGAGATGCAGCTCGATCGTCCTGTGAGGTTTTACTAAAACGATTTTTTTTTCTCTTTTTATAATACATGAGTAAATTTCCAGCTTAATGGTATCGTTAAATGTTACTCCGTTTGTAAAGCGAATACTGCAAGAAGCAGGTGCGGTTATACTTAAGCAGCGAGACTATATTGAGTTTCTCCGGTCGATCTGCGCTCGACGAAACACCTCATACGAATATAATGTTGTACACATGCTTTGTTATATCTATTTGTTGTGTTACTACCATTGTAATATCAGAAGAAGAGAGAGGGAGAGAAATATTGTGAGATATCAATTTAGAGCTTTTATCGGACAATGTATATTGAATATTATATATTGATAACACGTTGCAAGTGTCAATAGTATTTTGATAATGATCGAATTATCCTTGTGTGCGTGTTTGTGATGTAAGGAGAGTGTTGCGATATTAAAACAGATTAACTTTCCATGATTTGCATGTTGTTTCTGTGGTTGAAAAGTCCGACTTTTCTATACGAGTTTTGTCCTTACATAAGCATCCCTTTTCGAGAAAAATGCGTTGAAAATTTTGAGTACAAAATAAAAGATAAAGTTTACCTTTAATTGGTAAACCAGGGCAATAAACCCTCCTCTATTTCATAACATCTTTCTATCCACTACGTTTGCCTTGTAACCGTCAAGACAACACTAAACGTCTATAAAATTTGTCCTTTAAAAATCTCCAACGATTGTTTTAAACTAATACATACACACAACCGGCAAATTAAACAAGAATGATAAGCTGTTATCAGAGTAGCCAGAGCATTTCTTGGGCGCCTACGAACGTATCGACTTTCGGCCTATGTACCACAATTTATAAACGCCTGTAATTTCGTTACTTTTTTGTATTTCGATAAAATTTTCCAGGAATTTATTTTTGAGAAGTTAATTCGCTTAAAAATCGAATTTAAATCGCTTAAAAAAAAAATAATCGATTTTTTCGGAATTCTAGATTAGAATATCCTCTTAAATAGAAGCTATAATATAGACGCTAATATGCGTTATAAAAACCAATCAGCTAATTATTTTTCCTAGAAATAGTATGTTTTCCTTCGATGTCTCAGAAGTTAGCCAACGTCTAACGGGAGAATTTATTTTCGAATAATTATTATAAGGTTCTCCCATAACGAGTGGAACAGTATTCAAGCTGTTCTACAAGTGTATATAATAAAACGATATGCATAACGAAGAAAATTTCATGTGATTTCTTAACGCACAATATATAAATTGCCGCGTCAACAAACGTTTATTAATATTTTATTAATATTATTATTAAAAAAGATTAATAATAATGTGTGCGAAAATTAATCCATTATTTGGAAATGTCCATTCCCAACAGTGATCCAAACCGACTGACTCATGCGGAGGGGATGGAACGGCCGAGGGTGAAGGTGGAGAGGACAGGGAATGCTGTGAGCGTGTTACGGCGGCTGTTGCCTCAGTACTCGCTGATACCGACGCGGTGATATTTGCTCGTGCGACGTGGCATAAACTTGCAAACTGTTTTCGTTCCGGTCCGAAATATCACACCGTGCCGTATATACACGTGTCCTGCGAGGCTGAGAGCACAAGTAAGAAAGTGCGTCGAAATACGAGCAATCGATAATAGGCGCTTCACTTTGCCTTTAGATCCTGCCTCTTCTTTGTTCAGCCGACTTCCTGCCAAATACACAAGGACCTGGAACATTCTGGCTTTTTCTCCTCCCCTCCCCTCCCTTTCTCTCTCTCTCTGAATGTCCATCTCATTGTCTACAATACTAATTACAATAGCTGATTATAATTTCGATCGTTTCGAATTGACGATAACGGCAGTTGACTTGGCTCGATTTAAACGCAAATACAACGCGCGTATCGAATTTTTACGATGGGTCTGTGAAATAATAATTTCAACAAACACGCTCGTGCACGTGAAGAGATCGCGCGGTCAAGGTCGACGATTTTCCAACACTCGCGACAACTCACACATTACATGTGCTCGACAGGTTTAGCGAATTGACGCTTCCCAGTACACATCAATTAACGCGATAACGTTACATCCGTGTCTGATGTGGCTTCCGCGAGTTTGCGTCGCGTCTTTCAACGATTTGTATCTGACGTTTCGATCAACATTTCAGTTCACCTATTTAGAATGAGGATCGACCTGAAACCTCGGCGCCAACTCGGAAGTCACATCGCGAAAACTTAAAATTTCAGATTACATCCATGTTTTTCCATTTCACTATTTAAATGTGTACGTACAACATGTGTTATAACGTGAAAGCGAATGAATTTATGAACGATTAATTGCACAAAACATTCGTGCGATAAAATTCTCCGCTTCACGAACATTCGATTGTTCGACCACACCTGCAATTACATCAAAGTTCACTCTGTTCCATCACACGCTTTCAACATTTATTTCATCGTGCTTGTAATTAAGTATAAGTGGATTTATAATAATCGACTTTCTTTTGCATCATCTCTGGACGAGTTTAAAAAAAAAAAAAAAAACAGTTTCTATCTAACGTACTTTTTTCGTCGATTATCGTCGTTATTGTGCGTTAATTGGATTTTCTTTTGTAATGCTATCGCGGTACCGCGATATATTTTACGATGATGTCACGAGACATACCCAGAATTTCCCAACGCGTATATTTCCGATGGTCAGCCGAGACTGACGGTCGCCGCCGCAACGTGACGTCGAGGGTAGTTCTATATTAGGTATATGAATAAGTTCGGTGCCTTTACATTTGACGTCTTGTGACTCTGGTACAAATTTAAATTTTTTCCCGCCTTAGGATAATTTGAAAGTGCCAAGTTTTAAGAAGCACTATAATAGTTGACGACATAACTTCAAAAAATAGTAGTTATCACGATGTCGTTCGGAAAGGAGCATCTGAGGCATTGTATCCTTTTTGCGTTCCAGGTGCTCAAACCCGGTAAAAATGTTACCTCTGAACGTTATCAACAGCAACTCGTTCATTTAAGTGACGAAATCGAGCGTAAAAGATTATTTACTGATAGTGGAACCAAGCAGGTGATTATACTGCATGACTAACGCACGGCAAAAGCGACCCTGAAACTTGTCTTTTCTTTGGGCTGGGAAATTTATGCAGCTTATTCTCCAGAACTTGCCCTTATGAAGAAGATCAAAAAAAGCATCGATGACTTCATCGAAATCACCATCCTTTTACCGAAACGGGATTCGCCCGAAGGATGGCAAAAGTGTGTGGAAAATGATGAGGACTGTTTCGAAGATTGATTAACAAGTTATTCGTTTCTTTTGTGAATAAATATTAAAATCATACTAAAAAAAATGCACCGAACTTATTTATATAATTAATACGTAGCGTGACACATTTGCGGTAAATGTATCTTCGTTATCGCGGTGATAACGACACGTACACGAGAATGAGCAGAATTGTAGAATGCAAAACACGCTTCAGAGAACACAGACGAATTGAAGGGAAGCAAGGTAAATTAATTCCGCGAATAGATTAATTGGATTCTTGCGCGGTAGAGATGAAAAAACGACTTAAATATTCTTAGATTCTCCTCCTCCTTATTCCACTTCCTTTTTCTACCGACGAGATCCTACTTCCACACTACATTGTATTGATCTTTTCTCAGTTGAAAAGGTACCATGGCAGTTTGTTGAAATGTCAAATGTCACCTCAGCAGAGGGACGCATTCGTGTGATTTGATATTTTATGAAAAGTCTCTAATTGCACTTTCATTCGTAATTCGTGTCTTCGAAACATTTTTAGTTTTTCTCTTTCAAATTATCTCAATATGAATATTAAAATTACATTAGTAAATAAATTTTGCATCATAACTTGTATTGTTCTTGAATTTTGTGATACCGATTCTATTAAAAGCAGGGAAAAGGAAATATATATAGAGTATCAGATATCAATCACATACAATAAACGTAACAAACTTGAACACTTATGTGATATCGCACGGAGCAAGCGAGGACAAAAGAGGAAGAAAGAATTGATTGTTGATTCTACGAGACAATAGTTCTTTTGTCGGCACTATAATTATCACGAACGACGAAAACGCTTGTCTTGTTAGGATTAACATTTCGTTCATTTCGCGATAAGCTTACATAACCACGGCGAGAGAGGCGGCCCGATAGTGCGTCGGCGATGACTTTATCGTTCGCGGGATTTGTCTGTTCAACCGCACTGACGAGGAAGCGGGACCGGAGATGATGCCTACGTATAGTTGACGGCGTGTCATTCGATCGCGCCCGGCTGTCATCAACGTGGGAAACGATATCGTAGCCGCCGTCGCGAAGAATGTCACAAGATCTACGTCGGCAAAGGTGTGGGCCGTGTGCGAACAGCTGAGAGTGAACCACGTGCGACGATTACGTGCGTCGAATGAGAGATGACGGTCTCCTACACTGCCGAGGTAGCGACCTGCAGGGGCCTCGGGTGCTTCCTTAAGTTACTTCTCAGGTATAATTAATATCCAGATAGCCAAACCTGCGCAAACAAATTTCGGGCAGAGCTAGAGATTTTTTATGGCAGAAAAGCAACGACAAATCTAACACGGGATTCGTTCTATCAGATTATTCAACCGATCCTGCTGATAGGTAATCCGAGCGGATTAGAAGACACATTTTTGAGTACTGAACACGAATCCGTTAATAGAATTTAGTTATCACATCACAATTAAAAAAAAAATAGTATCTTACTATTACAACAGTTCTTGTATTGCTTGATACCATTTTTTTTTTAATTGTGATAACCAAATTTTATTAACGGATTCATGCTCAGCAATCGAAAATATATCTGAGATGACTATTCGCACTCATCGGAGAGACGTCGTACCGAACGATCACATTGATGACACGCGCGCACAACCAGTATTTTTTTCTTTCATCTAGGAAACGAAAGATCGTTGCAAAACGGAATACATTTTAAAGCTAAAAATTTTTACTTTCACGCAGCGTTAATGAAATTTAGAAAAACAATTTGCTGAGGGTGTTACAACACTATGAAAACCCTTGAAAATCGTTGTTTTTGGTGCAATTTTTCTCAAAATTGTGACGTGACCGGCAAAACGGATTCGTGTTCAGTGGGCAAAAATGAATAAAAATCACCTAATCTCACTACATTCGCAAAAAAAAAAAAGAAAAAAGAAACGTCAATTTTCGCAGACTAGTCGTCGTTTCTCAAGAGACTATCTCAGATGATAGTACTTCCACGCTTGTCCGACTGAAATTTACGAGTGTCGATCTGTTTAGATGGCGAGCGAGCATCTATAAACTCGTCTGGCTCGATCTGGCACTTTACCTCTTTATCTACTACTCCCTATCCGGCATCTACCGTCTGATACTGGACGACGAGCAGAAGAAGATCTTCGAGGCTGTGGTGGCGTATTGCAATCAGTACAGCGACCTAATACCGTTATCCTTCGTCTTGGGTTTTTACGTCAGTATAGTCATGACCAGATGGTGGAATCAATATATGGCGATACCATGGCCCGACTCTATCGCAGTCTTTGTATCGGCCACTATACACGGAAACGACGAACGAGGTCGTCTAATGCGTCGAACAATCGTTAGGTACCAGACAATAAATCAAATGAACCCTGTAAAACGAAAAATATTGGAAAACGATTAAGACAATGTTGCGTGAATGGATGAATAATTTGCTAAATCTACAAATGAAATGTATCTTCTTGAGATTATCAGACAGAAGTCAATAATGTTGCCAGGTACGTTTGCCTTTGTTTAACTGTGGTGCTTACGAACGTGTCGCCTCGAGTGAAGAAGAGATTTCCTACTTTGGAGCATTTCGTCGAGTCTGGTTTACTATTGGAGAATGAGCGGTCGATATTCCAAAGTCTGAACGCAAAGTTCCCCAAGCCAAGCAAGCACTGGTTGCCGATAGTTTGGGCCTCGAGCATCGTGACTCGTGCTAGAAAGGAAGGTAGAATACGCGACGACTTTGCGATGAAGACCATCATAGACGAGCTCAATCAGTTTCGCGGAAAGTGCGGCAGTATTTCACATTACGACACGATCAGCGTCCCGTTAGTTTATACTCAGGTATGATTTTCTTGCGTTCTACAAAAAAGTGGAAGTAATTTTTTAATCTTACCACACATGTACCCACGCTGGCATCTCGTCGCATAAATATAGTGTGAGGTGTTGGCTGTTCTAACCAACTTGTCTCCGATCATTTTTATGGCTTCACATACAAAGCGCGCTGACCAATCAACGTGCTGTTTCTCTTTCCGTTACAAGTTCGGCGTTTTGTTTAATTATTTTTTAATTGTGTCTCTCTTAACGTGTGTTGAGACTACATAACAAGATATAAAGTGCTGACTTTTGGATGTTTCGTCGCAGGTTTTGTAAATAATGTTATTCTTTGCTGCAGGTCGTAACGTTAGCTGTCTACACGTATTTCCTTACCAGCGTAATAGGTCGTCAATCCGTTCAAGACGCAGCCATAACCATCGATCTGTACTTCCCGGTATTCGCAACGTTGCAATTCTTTTTCTACATGGGTTGGCTGAAAGTAGCCGAAACATTGATCAATCCGTTTGGCGAAGACGACGACGACTTCGAAGTGAATTGGTTGATCGATCGCAATTTGCAGGTAAGATTCCGAAGGTAAAGAAACGCAAATATCAAGGCTCTTTTCTCTCCTTGAAGGTGAGCTACCTAATCGTCGACGAGATGCATCACGAGCATCCCGAGCTCATACGCGATCAATATTGGGACGAAGTGTTCCCGATGGAATTGCCGTATACAGCCGCGGCTCAGCCTTTCCGCGAGGAACATCCGCAACCTTCGACAGCCGGCATACAGTTGTCCGCGGCGCAGCAAGAGCTGCAACCGTCATCGGTTAAGATCGACGAAATGTTGTCAGATTATCAGAAGTTCCGTCCAGATGTCGCCGATGATGCCGCGTCGGGAATACATTTCACTGCGAAAGGCAAGATGTCTCGGTGAGCGCACAATGATTACTCGGCTCGAACCGTTTCTCGTCCCTTTGTTTCTTACTATTTTCCACTTGACTCTTATAGCGAACTCGATCATCCGCATACTGAAGGCTGCTAAACAGTTATTTCGATAAAAAGCGTACATTAGGTGATTTTAATATTTATTCATAAAAAAGGAATAATCTGTTGAAACAGTCCCCATTTGTCATTTTGCGGGCGAATCCGACAAAGGATTTTGACTCAATGAAGTCATCGATGCTTTTTTTCACCTCCTCGGCAGATTGAAAGTCCACCAAACGATGCTGAAGCGACCGGCGATACTTCGCAGGGGCAAGGTCTGGAGGCATGAATTTCCCAGCCCGAAGAAGAGACCTTTTGCCGTTGTCGTGCAGTAGAATCACCCGCCCGGTTCCACTGCCGGTAAATAGTCGCTCGAAAGCAGAACATACATTCATTTTATCGTCCAATTGCTTATCATATTCGGATGTGTAGCAGCCTATCGTGTGTACCGATCGATGCGGATGATCGAATTCGTCGCCGAGCAATTTCTAACACCTCTCGTGTCCATTTACTTCATATATTTTAAATTTAGTCTGTTTTCAGTGGTCATAAAGATAAGTTTGTCCTGCAGCAATTTCGTCGAGTCGTTAGCAGGTTCGAGAGCAAACGATTAAGTTCTACTGTTTTGCATTAGGAGCGCTAGCAGAGTGAGCAATCGAGACCGCACTCTCAGCGGTGGCTCGACTTCTAGCAATTTGGGCGGTTCTCTCACCAGGATAAATAGCGTCACCAGCGTACTTAAGCGATTCTTCAGTAGGGAGGACAGACCGGACGGGGGTACTACAAGCGATGCCAAGACTCCTGGGAAAATTCAAAATTCGCATTCGACGGCCTCATTGCAAACGCGACCGATGAACGGTATGATTTTTCTCATCTGATGTCGCACGACAATTGAGAATTACTGGCGAAATAGAACGTGATGCTATTGAAGCAGGTGCAGGCGGTTCCATGAGGATAGGTGTCATTGAGGAGGTGGACGAGCAGTTGACGATGACCTCGATAAAGCACGACAGTAAACCCCACGTACAAAGTATATTCGCGCAAGGTCCGCCGCCGCCGAGCGCTCCTGTCGATGTTCCCGGCGGTGAGCGATCGCATAAGCGCCAAGTGTTTTCCAGAAGCGCACCCGTAGGAGGGAACGCGGACGACAGACGGATGGGCATTAGGTCGGTAGTTCAAGTCGATATTGATATCGTGCTGTTGATTTCCATTGATTGAAAAGACGATTAGATAAATTAATCTAATCTTTTACTAGTTATATAACCGATTATTATCATACTTGACAATTTCATTTCGATTTTTTTTCTGGTACGTCGACAAAAAAAATTACACGTTTCAATTGCACGTTTCCAGTTTGACGAAAATCAATTTGACTTTAGGAAGCAGGAGTCTACACAATCGGTGCAATCGAGCATCACTTTCGAGCCGATGGTCAGTTACGTCGGCAGTGGGAGCAACGACGATCTTCCTAGCACCTTGAGCTCCTCGTGTTCCAGCGGCGCAGCGGACGAGTTCACGAAATTGAAGACCGAGAGGAAGGAACAGAGGCGCAATCGTAAGCTTGCCCGAAGCACGAGCGCGATAAACAGCGATCAAACGCAAAGCTCCGTCGATGCGGAAACACTGTTGCTTACGGAATTGGCGCAAGCGTCGCATCTCGCCACGATGAGGGCCGAAGAGGACGCGGATTACCAGTTATAGATAATATCGAACAATTTTCCTCGCATCTTCTTCAACTAATTATATCCTGTCGAGAGATCGGATCGAAGCATAATACGATAATACATCACGTAAACGATCGATTTTTTTGCACATTTTCTGCGTACTTATGAGATGGTATTATGAGATGATATAAGACAATGGAAGCCGATCGCATTGTCGTCGTCGGTATAATCAAAGTTAAGGTTACGTTATTCATACGTGAACCGATTGCGAGATAATTGATGAAGTTTTTTCGACGAAATTTCCGTGAAATTTGGTGGAACAATTGCAGCTTTAGCAACGACAAGTTGACGTCGAGATACATCGTAATAGAGGTGTTGCACCGCGAGACAATTTTTTAAAGTCTGTTTATAGATGGAGAAAAATAAAAAAAATATTTTTTCTAGCAAGGCTGGAAAATAACGCCGTTAACGTTACTTCTCAGTTATTTCGTCATTAATAATGACGTTATATTTTCTCACTAGTGACGATAATGTAATTATTTTTTGGATAATAGTATAATCGTTACTACTATTTTACACATGAATAATACATATGTATCGAAGGAGCGCAAACCAAATCTAAGTCAATCTTTACAGCCAAGTATTACTGCCTATGATAAATTGGCCGGTAATAAATTACTGTCGCTCAATAATCTTATTATTCGAGTAATAATAACATTACTGGGCAGCAACAATTTATCATAGACAGTAATATTTTTCTGTAAGGGAAAAAATAACGGAAATTATAACATGTTATTTTTTGAGTAACGATAACGGTAGTTACATAAAAAAAAAAACTTTCCCAACTTCTGCTTTATAGAAAGTGTCTAGCTTAAATGTAGCAGATATGTCGTTAATGTTAATTGCTTGAACTAAACATTATCAGTGCATGTGTGTGTATGATGTTTTTCAAGATTATTCTCGTGCGAGTAAGGAACTAGAGATAATCTGCAAAAGGAGTTATGCATAAAAGATCGTTAATGCTCAATGAACGAACTCCATTATGTCCGCCTTATACAACGAAAATATAAAATTTGTATCGTTTCCACAGTTTTTTCAAAAATAAAAATTGTGGAAACGACGTATTTGTTAGTTTTATACATCTGGAACTACTTTTTATTTTATTTTCGTCATACATAAGGTTGATTTTTACATTTTCTCGTCACAATGCCTTAGTTTACTCTGGTCATTTGATACGCGTACTAACTAGTAACTTTTTCATTAGATCATCTTGATAAGCCGGGAGCACGTAAAGAAACTTCTTAAGCAACAAGGAAATTGACCAACTACAGACGATTGTTTTTAAACCACAATGAGAATAATCGATTGTAGTTGGCCGATTTCCGTACTTAAATTTTTACTAACCAATTCACTAATTCTTACTAAAATTACTTAAATTTTTTCATAGCTTCCGGTTATATTGTAGCAAGCTGGTACTATATGTCTTCTTGATACATAGCGTACCAATTTAATACGTCGCCGTTTACATCCCTGATGGCACAAAATATAAAATCGGAACATGAGATATCTTTAAGACATCTCTCACTTAAAGAGATCCAGATTTTAGGTTTTATGCTGTCCGGATGCATTGTCGATATCAAGATGATCTAATACAAAATTACTAATTAGTACGCGTATTCAATGATAGGTGTAAAGTAGCACAATGCAGATCTTATAGAATTACGCATAAACGACTTGACTATTATTAGTCATTTTTGACTAACATTCCACCTTGTACATGGTTTGTTATGATATTCGGAAATAAGCCATTTGTTTTGCAGTATTATTAAAATAAAAAATATTTTTTATAGAAACGATGAAGTTAATTTTCTTCTCTGAATGAAATTGCGAAAGCTTTCCTTCATATTTCGAATGATTATACGGAGTATTTATCGTTACCTACATCACATTACGGAATTATTAGACCCGTTATTTTTGTAATTTAATTCCAGAACCTCCGCTACGAGTCGCCACTATATAGCCACTGTAATGTCCGGACTTATTTTGAAACATTAATAATATATTAATATAGATCGGAGGCCGACTTGTCTGATTTCAGATATCACTAGGTTAAATATTCACCAGGTATAGATATTTTATCCCTATATTACTAGATGTAAGTACGTGCGCATATGTATATTCGCGCACGTTAAATATTATAATTAAAATTATAACGCCAAAGAAACGACGTGTCGTTAGAGAGTCTTAAAATCGATGGATCAACTATAGACAAGAGAAACCGTAATCTCAATGCGATAAGGCACCCCGTTGCTAACATAAACAGGAGCATGAAACCTAAATTCAAACACCACTCAGGACCGACGCGGCGATATCGATGCGGTGACATTATACCGATGGAATGAATTTCTTCCATTTCCACGACTTCATCAGCCAACCAGAAAACGACTCTCAGCGACAAAGCAACCTATAAAAACGCGCGCATTCGTTGAGAAGGCGATTCTTTTCTCGTAATTAGCTTTTGGTACTTGTGTACTTATATAGTTTGGAATATATTAGTCGTAAAATCCGACTGTGTAACAATTATTTTTGTCTACTCCTCATTTCTCGAACGTTGCGAAATCGAAATTGGAATCGCGGACCGCATCATCCCGCGCAGCGAAACATCCGAGACCAAGCCAGGAGAACGAGCGGCTCTGATTTCTCACCAGATTCATCGATCGTTTCGCCAGACTCCGGAGACCCAGGGTAAACTCGGTGAAAAGCAGAGTGACCTAAAAGCGGAGTCATCACTCTGTTGACCGTCCACGTAAGTCACTGATTTTACTACTTTCAAATTTCCCTATATAGTTATTTATCGTGGACGTAACACCACAATAAGAAACTGAGGTCATGATATGACTAAACGATGGAGCCGGGCGTACTTTCTATTTCTCAAGTAGTACGACTCAACGGCTAGCTAGACATACTTTCTATTGTAATAAAACAGGCGAAATTTAACATGCTGTAACTTTCGCAGTAATGATGCTAAACATCGATATTTCAAACACCGATGATCTTGCCCGTTCCGGTCTACAGTCTAGGTGCTTTAAGAAATTGACCAATCACAGTTGAATCTAAAGAGAATAATCGACCTAGAGCTTAAATTCTCATTGTAGACCCCGCTTAATACCATAGAATATGCCTGTTGTATTGTTTACTGAAAATACTGCGTTCTGATTGGTGCATTTCCGAAAATGGATGGAAATGCACCAATCAGAATTCTCCGTCCCGTGTGGTTAACAAAATAATAAAAGTAGGATGACGTACGTAAGAGCGAGCCGCGCAGACGAACGTACAACTATCAACGGACTCGATTCCTTGTTTTTAGAATTTCTAGATTACACACGTGATAATGGATCGCCGAATCGCGTTTTTTTTCTGCGTTCTCACATGGCACTAGCGTTGTAAATAATAAACGAGAAGGAGATGGGTAGTGAAAGAAGATACATCGAATCTTGTTGACAATAAAATTCAATTCCATTTCTCGCACACGATTATATATTCATGATAAATATGTTACGATAAAACATAAATATTCATCTGTTTATATCCATTACTGTATACGAGCTCTATACGGTATTGTTGATAACATGTGATATTGGAAAAATCAATTTTCATGCTGTATACTAATATCACCTACGCATCACAACGCTACAATATAAAATATTGTGACAAATAACCGCACGCTATTTGTTACAGCATCAACAAATCGTTGTCTAGTAATGTAGGTATTAAATTTAATTGGCTACTGCTGTTTCTTAAATTTTAAACTTTGGCGTGCAATTTCTCATGTTTTGCATTTTTATTGTACCTTTTTTCAGGAATGTGATTGTAGATTTCAGCAAGTGGAGAATCAGAAGTATCAGTGACACTTTTTGTATTTTGTGAAGGACAGAGCAGTTTAATGAACAACAATTTGAACAATGGATTATGATTACATGCCTTTTCACAGGGAGACAGATATTCATAATAAATGTTGCGGTGGAAAATTATGGTGTATTAAAGCAAGTTGCTCTGATAATAACTCCTAACATTGCATTATAGCTGGTATTTAATCTCAATCTCAAACATTGATATTTACAGGATATATGTGGAATCATATGCGCGGTATTAACATGGTTGCTGATAATCTATGCGGAGTTTGTAGTAATGGCAGTTATTCTTATCCCTACAATAAACACGATATATTCCAGCTTAAATATGGCTATCTTCCAGTCTCTAGCATTCCTAGCCTTTGCATCACACCTTAGAACTATGTTTACAGATCCGGTAATTAAAGTGTTCAAGTATTACTCGTACTATTGAGTATATATATTTATCGAACTTGTCCAATGTTGATTGATATATAGGGTGCAGTACCAAAGGGTAATGCAACGAAAGAGATGATACAACAAATGGGGTTTAGAGAAGGACAGGTTATTTTTAAGTGTCCCAAGTGTTGTTCCATTAAGCCTGACAGGGCGCATCATTGCTCTGTTTGTCAAAGGTAATCTGACAGATTTTGATTTGCAATTGCGAAACAACAGTGGATGCAACAATATTATAATTGGTTTTTCAGATGCATCAGGAAAATGGATCATCACTGCCCGTGGGTTAACAATTGTGTGGGTGAAAATAATCAAAAATACTTTGTACTTTTTACTGTGAGTATTAAGTCACAAATTTGCATTATTGTCCAGGAAAATGACATCTTATTATTGTACTATATTTCAGTTTTATATAGCGGGCATATCGTTGCAATCCCTATTTCTTTGTATACAACAATTTACCACATGTGTCAGACAAGAATGGAGAGAGTGTTCAACGTTCAATCCACCGGCAACAGTGGTGCTGTTGTTATTTTTGTCATTTGAGGCACTTTTATTCGCTATTTTTACCGCTGTGATGTTAGGCACACAACTACAAGCTATTTGGAATGATGAAACCGTATGTATATGAATAATCGTTGTTTTCCTTACTTTGTCTGCCTATATTAAATTGTTGAAATTCGTATATTCATCAAAATATGTTATATATATTACGTACAGGGTATAGAACAGCTTAAAAAAGAAGAAGCTAGATGGGTTCGTAATAGCAGATGGAAGTCGATTCAAGCAGTTTTCGGAAGATTTTCGATAGCTTGGTTCTCGCCTTTCACCTCACCCCCTAACGCAAAAACGAAACAAGAGTCTTATTTATATTCTGTCTAAATTATATTTGGATTACGCGACCATGTGACCCAATGATAATCTATGTAAATATATTCATTGTGACGTGTTGTATGTATGTACGATAAAAGTAACGAATTCTATGATTTCATGAGATTTCTCACAGTTATACAAAGTGATTCTTATTTCTTCGTAAGTACATGTCAATATTTTAAGAAGGGAAATATTATGTGAACATATGTTTTGTTCAGATTTTATTTCTTGACTTATAACAAATTAATGAAAAAAAAAAAACACTTAAGCAAAATCTTCCGCTGCAAAGTTTACCACGACATGTTTTGATGCGTACACAACATTAACGATATTAGGTTTTTTGCTATAGAAAATAATGGATATGAAAATTACTCGGAGTAATACCTGATATTATTTAGCAAGTGTATATTTCGATATCAACGTATTAGAGCGCGTGTGCATATTGCTGTGTGTGGGTGAACTAAAGATAAAGCCCGTCCTAAACCTATTTTTAAATTTTACTCGACACAGAAGCTAAAAAAATAGTTCAATATAGATGTTATTCGTTATTATCGATAAAGTCTCATATCCCGATCGATGGTGGGCCCTTGTTCGTTGATCGCGTAGCTCGTAAACAAGTGAGCTTTCCCTGCTTGATTTGAAAAATTGAGCTGATGTCAGTAGTCGCGCGGCGATACTGGTTGCTTACGAATAAGATTGTCGATAATTAACATTTTAATTTGTAGAAATGATTTCTCCATATCACTTTCTATCCTCGCTTTCGCGCCCGGATAGATATATTTCATACATAATATGTGTAAATATAATAATTAAAATCTTTTACAGTCGAATTTCGCGGTATTCGCGATGCTCTTCAACCTGTGGTCTCGTAAATTTAATTGTTCAAATGTCCATAATACTTTCGTAAGGTAAAAATCCATCCAAATCCCGGGTGGAGCAAAAAATGACGATAATGTTGAGATTAAAATGTTAAAATGATGAAAAAATAATGGAAAAGTCGTCATTTTGATGCCGTGATGTTCTGCCTAGCGGATTCTCGATGAATTTTCAGTTACAACGGATAAGTTAATCGCAGAAATTTCCCTTTTCGTCGACGGAGAAGTTCACCATGAAAAAGGAGAGAGGAATAAAAAAGAAAAAGAAACATAGTTTTCGTCGGGACAACCCTCACGAAAATATTTGTGGAATCGACGCTTTCTTACGCAGATTCTACGTCTCATCGGGAATATACTTTTACCAAAGACATTTGTGTTAAACTGCCTCTAATTCGCTGTAACAGAAGAACGAGGATTAGCCGAAAAACTTTCGCGAGCAGAAAAAGCGACACGCGTTTGCGGGAGATATACGTGCGCGCCTGTCGCGATCGATGGGGGCGATAATTGCCGCAACAAGTGGGGGGCAAAAACAAATACGCCGCACGATATGTTTCCACTTTCATCGGCTTTAGTTTTTGCGAAGCGAAGATTCCGCTTCGGCGACGCGATTTCTCGAGAACCGTGTGACAAGGCCGACCGTCTCGTCAAACGAATGTTTGTGCCTTGAAATCAATTTCTGACTGCCGTCGCCGACGCCACTGCCGTCGCTTGCGCCGCCGCCGTCAACTTTCACTTATCCCAGCGACCGACTTGTCGGTGAGTCTCCGCGAGCTTCTCGCAAGCGAGTTCACGCGATTCCCCGGGGAAGTCTTTTACGCGTGCTACACTCGGGCACGTATTTAGAGCCCGTGAAGAACAATGACCGATAGGCGAAGTTAGCACCCCGTCATCGGACCGTTTCACACGCACGCATCATCCACGTAGCTGGCTTTTACTGACCTCGCAGCAAAAACTTTATATGCTCGGTAAAGTTAACTAGCTAATCCTGCTTTCCTTCGTTTTATTTTCTGTTCCGTAGTTCGCGCACTCGACGGAAAATCCGCATTTATACGATATCGCGCGATGGTGTTGATGATATCTATCACATTTATTTCCGATCTCGAAGATGACTTTGTATACGTTTTGACATTAATTGCATCAGCTTGAGAGAAACGATGATTTGAATCTACCAATACTTAGATATCCTCCGCACGGCTGGCTTTTTCGCTCGTTAAATAGAGCTTACGGCCGAGCCTTAAGCGTGAGAGAAATTGACCAATCACAATCGATTATTCTTCTACAATTCGATTGCAATTTTTTACACTTAAGGCTTACTATCGTAGACTCGACTTATCTCGAATTAAATTTCGCTCGAGATCTGAGAATCGATGATAAATATGTTCGATGATGCACCATCGAGTTATCGAGTCGCTTAACCCGCGAGTGAGTGTCCGTACGTCACGCTTTGCTTGAACACACTTTCGCTTTCGTGTTGCCCGGCTCTTGATGAATCCTAATTAGTCCACCGTGTAATCGTCGTCTTACCTTTATCTCTCGAGAGCTCCGATGTGATATGACGGCGATTAGCTCGCAACATAAATATTAAACCTCTATTAATAATTGGCAGACCGAGACTCGATGATATCGCGTTGGAGGGACAGTTTCCTATTTTGCGATTTTTTCTTTAATTGAGATGACGTAGCTCTCGCGCTTTCTTACCGAAAGATTTGTGTTTCACGTGTCGTTAGTATTAGGTGTATAAATAAGTTCGGTGCCTTTTTAGCATGATTTTTTAATATTTATTCACAAAAAAAATAACAAATAATCTGTCAATTCTCGAAACAGTTCCCATCATTTTCCACACACTTTTGACTCAATGAAGTCATCGATGCTTTTTTGACCTCCTCGGCAGATTGAAAGTCCAACCGGAACAGATGATAATCTGTAGGGGCAATGTCTTTCAAATTGTTCTAGGGCGGGAAAAAAATTTAAATTTGGATCAGAGTTACAAAACGTCAAATGTAATGGCACCGAACTTATTTATACACCTAATAGTATATGTCATAATAGGTGAATGTTCTGGGCGCGGGAGATGTAAAGCGAGCGTAAACATGCGTTCCACGTGCAAATTGCAACAGTGTTTTATACAAGTCGTATCGCACTCAGAGAAAGATATAATAAGTGACGACTATAATATATACCGAGAAAAAAATATTTAAGAAATATTGTAAGCATTGTAAAACATATTATAGGATTGTAACCAAATAGACGCGTCATCTTTGTGCGATAGATTTTTTTCAGCGAGCTCTATCATCGATAATCTCGCCATGACGATCTCTTATTCTGATACTTTTCTCATTTTCTTTCACAGACTCTGACGAATGTCGTCACAAAAAATACCATCTTGTCGCGTAATTTATCACGTGAAATGAATCCAGATGCTCGTGTTTTTCACGCAACATTAAATTCACATATCTGAGTGGCTATTTAAGTAAGCGTGAAGTGCGAGCGGGCACGCGCCGCGTACAATACAAATACGAGATCCTTTTTATTCTCGACTTATCAACTGCAATTATAAACGCATTTGCCACGGCAATGCCACGTGGTATAGCATGCGATTATCTGGTCGAACGACATGATTTATCACTTTCTCTGTTTCATTGATTACTGGACCGAGAGAGTTACCGCGGCAAGTCGTCGTACGCTATTCATACGTCGTATTATTTGTCGTTTTAGTGTTTTAATCGCACATGGCGAAATGGAACGGAAGAAGTTAATAACATGGAATGACCGAGGCATCTTATTGGTGTGTACAATTGTTGCCATTTATTGAAAGTTATTGCTATTTATCATTTACATTCATCGCGCAGATTAAAAAAAAAACGATTCTGTCGACTTTGCTTTGCCAGTTTCTGACGAAATTACAGCAGATACTATATAGCATTGCTATTTAAATTAAGTATTTTTATGCACGGAAAAACAAAGAGTTAAAAGACGTCAAAGGCATCGAACTTATTTGTACACTTAATAATTTCACATTAAATTCCCTCGACTTTTCTGCGTCACTTCTTGGTTTTTATTACAGATAATGTGCTTCTTCATTACGTTGATTATATTCGCTACGGCGTATGATCCGGATGACAAGTCCCTGAAGGATATTCTGCTGCCCGAGGGTCAATTCGAGGCGTTTTATCTGAAAGGCATGCAAGATGAGGAACAAAATGCCGCGAGACCGCCTCATCTTCACGGATCTTTTCATCAGTATCGAAATCCTGCCCTGGTTGGTGCTCCGAACAGCGCTGCCTACGGATTTCGCTTCGACGGGAAACGCCGCTTCAATTTCAAATGAATTATTATCGACAATCGCATTTTTACTCCAAGTCCTATAAATATTAACTTACGTTCTCAGAATGAGGAATTATAGTTGTCGTTGAAACACAAAAATTAATACATAGGTGCCTGGCGATTAGCAGTGGTTAGTGATTAGCGGTAAATCAAACTTATGCTTATCCGAGACCGTTGATATATGATAAGAAAATTTCAAGATGATATTATGTCATTTTTTCAGCGAGAAGAGAAAATTGTGAAAATTTAGTTTTCAGGACTAGTAAGTATAAATGCGATCGATGTATTTTCGAATACACATATGTGTTTTCTTGGCATATGAGATAATAAAGTGTGATTCAGAACAAACATGTATCCTTCAAAAATTGTATTCCTGATTGAATTCTGAGACGACTTTTCCTCTTGCAAAATTTTGGTAAACGTTTTGTTTTTAATTTATAATAGATAATAATAATAATAGGTTTGTCACACAGATCGCCGATACACATTCAATTTTATTTAAGTCGAACATAAAATGAAAAGCTATACAAGCAATAAGATAAAGAAATATCATTCGCGGCTTGCTAAATATAAAAATATTATTTTAGAGAGAACTAATGGGTTTATGTATAAATAGAGTTATAAATAATCATTTCGTTCAAGTTCAAAACTATTCTTTTTTTGTAAAACTTCTGTTTTTCTTACAGCGGATAGTTCAAAGAATATTTCGATATGCAAAGTTGATTTATTTATTTATAATATGTCTAAAATTGTTTAATCCTTAGTGTTTTCATTATGCTCCGGGTTTCCCTATTAACATGTACTGTTTTTCTGAGAAAGTATCATTATGAAAATTTACGCATAGAGAGAAAGAGAGAGAGTCATTTGGCTTCACCGGCAAGCGAGCATGCTAATGAACATCATATTTGACATTTGATTTCAATGACAGGCTTAGTCTCGGAAAAACGTTGATTTGATATAATTAGCTATCTCTCTGAGAACTCCGGCCATTCTTTTGCAGTAATCTGAACATTTTTCAAACAGGTTCTGCAACCTGTATCGTAACCACGCCTTTTCCGTTCTTGTAATAAACATAATTATTACGATCTTACATTTTCGTATATTATTCTGATCAAAATCCTTTTTTTCTTCTGCGTTTCCTTAATTAATTAATCGATTTCTATATATTTAACCGATAGCAATAATAAATATTCTGAATGCGCATTTTGTGCCTAAATGTAGCTGTTTCAAGATAAAACAATATCGGATGTTTATGAAATCATCATTTTAAAATTTACTCATCTTATGCGTACGTAAGATGAGTAAATATTAAAATTGAACGGACCACATTTAACGTCGAAATGTACCCTAAAAATCGATACGTAGAATTGAAAACTTAAGGGATTAATTTTGCGCCACAATTCCTCCATATTTAGATAATGTATTAGAAACTAGTGCTTCGTACAACAGAACTCAGAAACACGCAATTAAAACCACATGCGAGCGATTTTACTTTCATTAAGCCAATGGCCTTTGTTACGACTACTCTCGCGTTAAGCTGAAAGATCGAGGTTTCAACAGCGGAGATATATGTTCGCCATATAACTGTATGTTTATTCTTGAACGCAATCTTCGAAGTTAATGCCCGCAATAATGTTGAAACGTTCGTACATAAACTGGTTTGTCGAGAAATGTATATCGCGTTACATATCTATGTGTTTTCATCTCTGCAGTTATTAAGGAATTATTAAACGAGCAGTTATTAAACGAGCTTTTATCATTTCAAGAAAATATTTCTCAGTAACTGTTATACGTTTCGCAGTACACAGTTACCTATTAAACACGTTGAAATTTATGGATAGGTTACATTTTTTCGTTAGTTTATAATTTCAATTTATTTCTCAATTATTTACACGTTAAATAAACCACGCAGTACCATTAAGAATTTATGAGAATTATTCAAAATAAATTTATGATAAAATATTTTTTATCATATTTGTATGGCTTTTTTTTATAAGGATAAAAGATAACTACTATTAAAAATTAAATTAAATTTTTGCTCTTAATCTTTCAATTAAATTATACATATACTTTTTATATACATATAATTGTTAAAATTAATGAAGTTACAAAAATTATTGGAGTTAATTTTTTAAGTTTAATTGCTTCTTACTTTTATTACTTGGAATTTGTTTTGACGTTCATTTCGCACAGTATAGAAAATTATTTATTTTTCTATCGAAGATCATTAGTTGATAAATTCAACGAGGCGATTCCAGTTGTAATTTAGAAATAATACGGTATCTCATGTATTAATAATAAGAAAATATAAAAAGATTAATTGCTTTTTCGATATGTGCTTGTCTAGCGCTCCTAATAGCGCCGGAACACGTAGGGGATACATAGCAACGTTATCAAGCCCACTTCGGGCAGAAACACCGCTCTAAAACCGGCTATGGGGGAAGCTTTAAAAAGAGGTGGCTAATACTGCCACGCGACAGTCGTCTTCGCAGTAGGTTCGGTGAAATGATCTAGCGAGATTTCGTGCTAGCAACGATATGAGGATCACGTGTTTTATTACGGTGAGTGGGCAGACGACGATTAACGTCTTTGCAGTGAGAAAAGTGAACAAGAAAATGCGAATTATGTGATCAATCGCATTAATTTCGCAAGATTATTATTGTACCGATTACGGATTGTACACCCATTAAGTTCATTATTTATTTGCATCGTGTATAGAGACACTGTAAGTGTAATTAAAGAGCGTTAAATAGTTTTCGATATTTTCCCTCTCCTCTAATACGATGAAATAATTCACGCCGCATATTTACTCTTGGTGAATCGCAGCTATGAATTAATATATAATTTTTTAATGAAAAGTGTACTAATGTTAGGTTAGCTGGTTTGAGTTTTTTTTAAAGATAAAAGTTTCACCAAGGAGTGCATAAATGATTTCAGCTGTAAACTCTCGAGTAGTTCATCGCTGTCTTCTTGTGAGACCATAAGAACGTGTGACAATTTATGATATCATACTCACGTATATAAAAATGCGTTATATCTACATATATGCTCATTATATATTTGCATGTAGGTCTGCGCATATCTATCATCAACAGTATCCACCAACGAGATCAAACCTTCAGATAGGTAAGCAGGTTTTTGTAATTTTTTCATTCATTATCTATATTTCGGTAAAAATTATTCTCGAGGATAAATTTATTTCCTACTTTAAAACTATCTCTATAAAGTCAGTCCAGTAGTAAAGGTTTTTAAACAGCTGCTTTTTTTCAAATTGATGGAAAAAATCCAGAAAAAACGGATTTTTCCGAAAAATATAAATTTTTGCGAAAAATTTTGTTCCTATTTAAATGGTACATTAGATAATTTTTCATGTACTTTATCATATTAATGTGATCCAGAAAGGTAAATTATGTTATTTGTGATAAAATGTTTATATTTCAATTCTATCTTTAATTGTGAACGATACCAAATTTTTTTTGTTCAAATCAAGTAAAAGCTTATAAGAAACTACATAATAAATAAATAAAAACAATGTATTCCTCAAATAAAATATAATGAAATAAAATATATAACTCTTAGCAAAAATGACCGCTGTTAATAATCCAAATTCTTTACGAAATACTCGACAATTGACAAAATATTCCATGTCTTTATTAATCATATGATTTCACACACGAAAGCATTTTTCCAAACGAATTTTTCTACCCTTGGGGAAATGAGGCAAAAAAATGTGAAAAAATTATATTTTTTCCGAGCTTTTGGAACTATAAAAAGTTTTCACAATTCATCCACACTTTATTCGATTCTACCTTCTTTCCAATCACCTGGATAATATATGTCCACGCACGTCTGTTTACTTTCTCAGGATAAAGAAAGGCAGTTCGCACGAGGACTTGACGCTGAAAGATTTAATCGTAAAGAAGGAGATAAATCATATTCCCATCTACCCAGATGTTAACTCCATCCAGCAAAGGTCTCGAGCGAAGGTCGCACGAATCGACACGTTCCAGAAGCCGAGAAAGATCCGCGAACTCGGGCAACCTCAGCAGCATCGTCACTACAACCGCAATCGCTCGAGGCGTTTGCCGAAACGCCTGAAAACCCGCTCGATCGCCGGCGCATCCTACGAGCTGGACAACAACGAGCTGGCCAAGCCGGAGATGCGCGACAACAAGGGGCCCGTTCACATCGAGCCGGTGCTGCGCGTCACCACGAAGAAGAATGTCTTCGACTCTATTATGGATATTCTGCGCCAGCTATTGGATCCGAAGAAGAACGAGCCGGGTCCGCTGGTGGGTCCTATCCATGTGCCAGGATCGGAACGCAAGATCTATCTCCGTCTGATGGAACCGATCGATTCGAGTCACGTGATGGTGCGCTTCGTGACACAAGTACCGGTACCGGTGATCGACGCGGAGCCTAAACACGGCCCCATCATTCCGATTCCACCCATTATCGATCCCGCCGCTGTGTTGTTGAAGGGCCAACACACTATCCTGTCGGACGGGGTGTTCGCTTCAAGCCGTCATTCGTATCGAAATGCTAATCACACTTCCGGCAAGACTCGAGGAAAGCCGAAGAGTCCCTCGATGGACCACCAAAGGGAGAAGAAGAAAGACTTCCCGTTAAGCACGGAGAATTCGTTCCTCGGCGAGTCAAGCTCATATTATTCGTATCAGGCGGGCGAAGACGCGGTGAAGCAGCTGTTGAACGACACGACGGAAACCTGGTTTCCGGTTTCCGAGCTGAGCACACATCGCTTGCCTTTCCGGCAGATCGCCCCGTTGACGTCTGTCGAGCAGCATGTGGAATCCGCTTACGCGGTGCCGAGTGACGTTCTCACAGGTAGTTCGTACAACGGCCCGTATGCGCATTACAGCAGCGAGGAATCGGCCTCGGGTTCCTACGATCAACATCACCCCACCCACTCGTATCAAAAAGCGGAGCTTAACAATGATGGCCCGAGCACTTATTCGATCCTTTATCGGAACAACAATGCCCCGGACGAAAAGCAGGACGACCTTTACGGATCGTCCAGCTCGTACTCGACGTTTTACGATAAACCGAAGCTCGCATCCAACGACGCTCTTCGCGTCGTAGATCCGCCGCCTTACTTCCCCGGCTATCAGAGACCGTTGGAGAACTATGCCAATCGATCGTCGGCGATCCGCCAGGAGGATCTGAATAAAGTCGGCTCGGATGCGAGGCAGCGCAACGATCATCAAGTGATATGGGGCGAGACGAAGAACGAAAATTCCTCGGCGAGCAACGACAATTGGCAGCCGACGATGTACATGCGCGAAGCGTACGTCGATCTGGCTAAGGTCACGAGTGATCAT